AGCGCCTGCGTCGATTTGCTTCGGTACAGTAGGTCACCTGTATGGTGGTTGCAACAGTCTTGAGAATGTTCTTATAGGATCGAGTCGACTTTTCGTAGATGGATGACTTTTGGCCTTGTACTCGCTGAGTTCCAGAGCATCGTACTCTGCACCTTTGGATCAGCAAGTGATTGCCTGGAGTGTCGGCCTTGGTCCGGCTTGGATGGCGCTGAACTACTTCATGGTCTCAATGGCCAATGGATATGCCAGAGGCCACATTCATTCCACTCAGGCTTGATCCTTAGCAGTTCCTAAAGTGATGTCAGGGTCTCCTTCAAAAGAGATAATACTGGTGTCAGCCTTCCATTTGGATGGAAGAGAAACTGACGCTTGGAACTCTTGTACTGGTTCCTGTAGCTGTTCCTCTTCCTTGATGGCTTCCTGAGAAATTGAATCCCCTACCCCCCCTAGAAGGGTATCTTCCTCCCCCACGACCACCCTCTTCCTTTGGAATCTCATGGTCTTGTGGTGTGGTAATGCACTCTTGTGTTGCTTGTTCCTTGGACACTATGATGTTATTGGAGTGGATAACTTCCTGCAGGAAGGATCTCACGACGGGCAAACTACCTACTCGTTTAGTTGCCTGAAAAGCTTCCTTGTTTGGCTGGGATAGCCTCTCGTTGTGGCTGGATAAGCTCTACTTGTCCAAAAAGACAGCATCACGGAATTCCTGATGGAAAACGTGTTTCTTTGTGCCTTTGGTTGGCTTTTCGTGGCTCAGGGTATTAGCGAACTCCTCTGTAGCTTTTGTATGGTGGTTCTGTCGTTGCAGGACCTTGCACTGAGTGTCAAATGAGTGCAATGAGTGAGTTACAGTCACTGGAACAGTCTCTCGTGAAGATTTGCTTTCTGGATACTTATGACCTTCTCGTGATTTTTTTCTTCTCTTACAGTAGCACTGTATCACCCAATCAACCTATCTCACTCAATTCTTGGAGTTAGAAGCTTGCACTGATACTCAGAGATGCGGCTAGATGTCCTCTATCGATTTGATGTATGGGACCTCTTGCTTGCGACGTCTGTTTCAGGATCTACTTGATCCCGTTCATGACTTCTGCTCGTTTGTGATGAGACGGATGAAAATACGAAATCTCGCGCGATGACGTAATCGGCTTCAACTCGACTGAATAATGCCGGATTTCCTTGCTTCCACACGTAACCTGTTCAGTTCACCGTGCTTGTTTCACTGTACCACTTGGATGTCCGTAGTTCCGGCCGGAAACTGTTAGACGATCTCACGTACTAGTACCTGTGACTGAAGATGGATTTTCTTCCACGCGCGCACTCTTTCCTGTTAGATGCCTTTCGATGCTCTTATAGTGTAGCTAGAGGCCTGTTTCTCGCACCTCTTCTCTGTTGCAGTGTATTACTCATTCTTGAGTCTTAGTAGTAACTTGTAGTAGCTTGGATCACTTGATGATATCAATCTCGAGGTGTTGATCATCTTCGAACTCGAGATGAGACTTTTGCTTTTCAGTGTTATTTGCTAGTAATACTGCAGCTTATTGGGGAGTAATTTGGTTTTAGATTAAGCTGAAAAGCAAAAGTGAGGATTTTCTGGTGGTGCATAGCAATTCTTGTGATTGAATTGGATATGAGGACCCCCGTAACACTTTAGACCTAAAACTCCCTTGGTTCCTTGCATGATGAATTTGCATGCGAACCGGACTAGATGATTAATACACGAGTCAATAGTAAAGAGGTGTCAGGTATGTTTCCTCCAACACCGGTACCATCCACATGACTCCATGATTGGAACCGAAGAAAACTGTTACCAGTGTTGACTAATAGATTTTATATCGCATTCATTGAATGCAGGATCTCTGAAGCTTTTGATTCGTACGGTGCAGTGCGGTGCGGTGTGGCTGGTGCGGTGCGCAGGTACAAAATTCGGAGTACAAAAGTCGTACGAAAACATGCATGAAGAACAACAAGGAAGACAATTTAAATATAAAGTGTATTAAAAGAACTGATGTAGATTTGTAGCAAGAAGGGAATCAAATCAGTTGTGTGTAAAGAATTATTACGAAAGTAAAAGCAAGAACTAATCAGTTTCCTCGTCAGATAGGTGCCAAGAATCTTCAGCAGGTGGGGAAGGTTCGAAGGAAAGAGAAGAATCAGATTTGATGAAGGTTGATTCAAGGTCAGAATCTGTCCCGGTCTCCGTTTCACCCTCAGTAGTAGTGGTAGTATGAGGGAGCAAATGTGAAAACATAGTAGAAAGAGGCAGGAAAGGAATTTGGTTTGATAGCTTTTGTTGGGAGCGATTCCAAATGTTGTGAAAAGGCTTGAACTTCATTAAGGTAGATTTGACAGGAACAGGTGGACTAATCTTGATAAGACCAAATGGGGTCATATTTGTTGGCTGTATAAAGAGATGAACGAGGAAGTTTGGAAGTAACTTGAGTAGAAGAACCAATTGTGGACTGCTCGAGAGAACGTTTCGTTGCAGACGCATGCGACGAAGGAGAAATCTTGGTGGAACTGAATTGAAAACAAGAACCTGGAGTATCTTCAATGGAGCCAACAAGAAAAGAGCTAACATGCTGAGAATCTGAAGTTATAGTATTGTCATGCTGGGAAAAAGTAAAAACAAAATTTGTTTTAGTATGTATTGGACAGTTCAAATGATGGCTGATTTGAAAGAGCACAACGGAACTTACATTCGTAGATTTGTATGATCGTGGAGAGCAATAGTTGTCGAAGTAAAATGGCAAAGGAGGACAATCAAGTTCATTTGGCAAATCATGAACAACATCACAAATTTCATGGAAACACGAAACTTCTTTGATTGGGTCACTGTTAAAGAAAGCAAAAGAAAATACAGGCCTGCTCATGTGATTTGGAACTACACAGATTCATGTGGTTTGGGACAATCAGGGCACATGATACAGAATGGACTATCGGGCATAAAGAAACATTTGGAATGGGAAAAATTGCTTATGCTCCTTGCAAGTAAGAACAGGAGACTGATAGAGATAGACATTGCCACTGCAGAACTGGCAAATATCATCAGAATTGGACAATCCATGGAGGAGATCCTTCTCATATAGAACTGCCACAACTTGAGACTTGGACATTGTAGAAGAAATAGTAAAGGAAAATTATACTGCCAAGAGAAGATGAAGAATGATGCGCAAAGTGTTTTGTGAGCCCATAATTTTGGACGAATTTTCGGATCCTTTAGAAAGCTGGGTGAGTATTGTTAGAGATATTGGAGAGATGTTTCAGAGAAGACTTGTAACACAACTCTTGAGTCATGAAGAATATATATTTTGAACATTTAGGACAATCACTTTTGCACTTAAGTGAATTGGTGATATCCAAGATTGATGTACTCACAAAACTGTCAGCCCATAAAATGTGACGATATTTCGTTTATGCGTTTTTGTGATAAATTTAGTGACTGGTAAAACCATAAATGGACGTTATAAAACATACGCAATAATGATAAGTGCATTTGAAATACTTAGAGGATGTGACAACAATAGTTGAAAAATTTAGCCCTCCAAAAGCTATCTCCAAAATTCGCTACAAGTTTCGTCGCCATATTTCGTCCTGTCAGTACTACTGCTTCTCTCAACAAAGTGTTGTCTTATCTCTTCTTTTGTGTGATGTAAACCAACTCTCTTCTCTCTGCACTTTGCTTCCGGGTTCCCACAATTCAATCCCACAATTGAATGCGATTTTCAGCTTGCCTTTTGAATTAAAGCAACCTGTTATAGATTTCAACGTTTAGAGTTGTTAGCTTTGATGAAGTCGGTCGTTAGCGGTTGGTCTTGGGGCTTGCTAGCTAGATAGACACGCCTTATTCTTGAGCAAAGGCCTCATCCAGATCCGGGGTGACTACTGCAGTCTTGTGTATCTGTCCCAGCTTGATGAATCGATCATGCTCGTGGTCAATGAGGACTGCCTGTTGCTCAAAGCCACAAGACAATCCTTCCGAGACATTCATACGAATCTGTATTCATATTATTATACGGTTCCAGTATGTGTTCCGTCAAGCAAACAGCCAAGAAGAGTCAGCAATGTATATCTTTTGAATCAAGACCCATCGGTCTGTCTCTCAAGAAGCTAACCATTCTTCCATACTACATAGACCAATGTTCATTCAAACTTACCTCGGGAGAACCATCGGGACCCTGAAACACAAGCACTGTCTTGCCACTCTTGTAGACTAAAAGCTTTCCCAATCGCCCCGGTATAGCCCCCGACATGGTATTATCAAAACTGCCTGGTTTGACCGGTGGGATGACGACATCGGATGTTTCTATTGGCGTGGGCCCTGGTGCTTGCACGGCAGTTTTGGCGTCCTCCGCTTCTTCCATCATGGTCACATCATTATTGTCCTCTTTGTTGTTGCTATTGTTGTTGTTCTTGTCGCCTGCTTTGGAAAGTCCCACTTGCTGCACGAGGGACGGCAGACGTGTTGGGAATTGGAATAGAAATAGATTTTCCATTTCTTTTTGAAGATCATCTTCTTGATTGATGTCCACAAAGGGTGACGGTCTGGATTCATCTACGGTGGCATTTTGTGGAGTTTTTGGTGTTTCGACACGTGCCGCTGTTGTGGGTTGTTGCTCATCGTACATGAAAGGTCGTTTGTCCCCATCTTGAGCTCCCACACCATTGGGAAGAGGCGCCACAGGAAAGGGAAGTCTGGTGGGAGGAATGTTGGTATTGCGGGGTCTAGGTTTGGCTTCCTCTAGACTGGAGTCTGAATCGTAGGTGTGCCCATCTTCGAAGAATCTTGAGCCACCTTCATCCTCGTTGTCAAACTTGCTGGGCCCGACGTAATCCGACGTGTCAAATGTTTCCAACACGGATTTCTTTCCTTCTTTTCCCAAATGAGATCCAATGGCTTTGTCCAACGTCCCAACGACTTCTTCGGATGCTTCAGCCGCGTCTTTGCGTTGTACCAAGAGACTGGACTTGCTTTTGCTGTCGGACAACTTGCTGCTGGCTCTGGCACTACTACTGGCTTTGCTGCTGGCCGATTTGGATTTTTTGGAATCTTGAATGGATGCCGTAAAAAAGACTTGTCCTTGGGGAGCCGTCCATCTGCCTCGTCCCCTTCCTCGCCCTCGACCTCTTCCTTCTCGACCTCTTCCTTCTCGACCACCACCTCCACGACCACCTCTTCCACCACCGGTAGTGGGTTGGGCTGGAGCAGCAGCAGCCGCAGAAGCAGCTGAAGAAGAAGGCGCTGCGTCGGGCAAAATGGGCGTTGCCGCGACGCGAATCTTCTTGGCTGGCTTTTTCGGTTTGAACTTTCCTTTCTGAGAGGGTGGGCCTGGCATTTTTCTATTGTTTGTTGTGTTGTTATCTGGAGGAGGTGTTGGTCGATGCTTTGTTGGATGATGGGTGGTTGGTTGCTACCATAGATAGCGAGGTGGTGGTTTGGTACCGTATGGTGGCGAGCTGTGAGAAGCTACAGCATGGGCAGAGGATGCATGGATCAGGCGCAAAACGGGTTTCACCGTTTCATCAGTCACGTTTCGAATCTTTGCCATCACGCACGGCAAAACTTTGCGTCATCAAAGATCCAAGATGTTTTTCTCATTTCTCGCCTTCGCTTCCCATGCAACGGCGTAAGATTGCCATTTGACATCGGAGTTCATGATGCCATCTCCTGTTCTTTACATCGTTTCAGAAGTTTGAGGACTACTAGTTGCTCTCATCATCACAAAATAGAGCCAAAGAAACCGAGATAGTCCAGATAATATCATCCATTCTGCCAAAGAAGTTTTGAACTCCAGCAGAATTTCACTCTGCCACACCGTCGCCAGTCTACTGGAGCCAATATGTTTCGTCTAGTCTCCATTTCGTTCAAGAAGGATCGCCAGAAGATCCTGTGGGCGGCTGGGACGGTGGGAGGTTTCGGTACCCTTCTTCTGGCCCAAAAGACACGGTTGGAACCAGCTAAGAAGACACAAACGGCAATCATGCCATCACCCCGCCGACTTCCCACGCGACAAGAACAGTTACAACGTCTCTCCAGCGGCAAACAATTCGATGTTTTGGTAGTGGGAGGTGGGGCTACCGGATGTGGAGTGGCATTGGATGCCCAAATGCGAAGCTTGGAGACCGCATTGATTGAACGAGGGGATTTCTCCTCGGAAACTTCGTCCAAATCGACCAAATTGATTTGGGCAGGAATCAAGTACTTGGCCACGGCGGCGGCGCAGCTCTTGCAATGGCAAACCTTGATGCATCCCATAGAATCCGTCAAAGCGTTCTCGGGTGAATTCAAAATGGTGCTGGGAGCGCACAAGGAACGTCGCATCTTAGTAGAAAACAATCCACACTTGACCAACTGGGTACCCATTGCAGTGCCCATGAAAAATTGGATTGTGGTAGGTGCACTATATGATGATTGTCGTTTTGTCTGGTTTGATGGTTGACTGGAAAAAACTCAACGCAAAATTCTTCTATTTGGTTTGTATTGCAAACAGTGGCCACCACCCTTTGACCATCCATTGTTTTGTACAGTGCCAATTGTGTGTAAGTGACCACTCCTTGAATACCATCTACCTACTTATTGTTTGCAGTCCTGTTGACGATCATCTGCCTTTTTGCAGTTCCTGGTGTCATGAAGTTTTACGACGGCCTGTCGGGTTTCTCCTGTCCTCCGTCACATCTCATGTTTAAGCAACGAGCCAGACGCAAATTTCCACAGCTCGACGACGATGTCAAGTATGTTCAGATTTTTTACGAGGCCCAACACAACGATTGTCGCACGGCTACGTGTATTGCACTCACTGCAGCCGAGGAAAATGCCTGTGTCACAAACTATACCGAGATGGTGGGTATACTCAAGGACGAACAAGGCAAGGCAGTGGGCATTCGCTGTCGCGACAATATTGCGGGAAAGGAATTTGACGTCCAGGCCAAGTCCATCATTTTTGCGGGAGGGCCCTTCACGGACGAAATGAGAAAGCTCGAAGAACCCAAGTGTCAACCCGCTGTCAATGCTGCTGCAGGGACACATATCGTGCTACCAGGGTATTATTCGTGAGTCTATTGATACCCAAACAAAATGAGCTGGCATCATGTATGCACTGTCACCAACTTTTCTCCCTTTTTCTCAGCCCTGATGGTATTGGGCTCCTGGACATCAATACATCGGATGGAAGATTCTTGTTTTTCCTGCCATGGCTTGGACATACTCTGGTCGGAACGACCGATCGAAAGGGGCCTGCTGTCAGTGATCCAGGACCTCCTGAAGTCGAGATCCGATGGCTGTTAGAAGAAGCAAAGAAATATTTGGCTGACGATTTGAAAGTGCGACGGGCGGATGTATTGTCGGCCTGGCAAGGCTTTCGACCTCTTGCTAGCGACCCACATGCGCCCCCCGGTGCACCTGTTTCAAGAGACCATGTCATTTCCGTCAACCCAGAGACGGAGATCACGTTCATCACGGGAGGAAAGTAAGTTCTTGCGTGAACAAAGTGCGTTGGCTTGGAGTTTTTGGGCGCTCACTCTGCATATCATCATCGAGTCAGGTGGGTAACATATCGAGAAATGGCAGAAGATGTCGTTGATCGCGTCGTGAAGTTGAAGGGTTTGGAGGCTGGGCCCTGCCGATCAGAGACGCGACCCTTGTATGGAGGTGTGGGGTATACGAAGAATCTGCCGATTCAGCTTGTACAACAGTTTGGAGTCTCCGAAACAACCGCGAAACATTTGGCTAGCACGTACGGTACCCATGCTTTCGATGTTTGCAAATTGACCAAGCCCAGTGGGAAGCGGTGGCCCCGTTTTGGCAGACTCCTTATTGAGGGATACCCCTACTTGGATGTGGAAGTGGAATATGCCTGCAAGCACGAAATGGCTTGTACAGTGACAGATATGCTCACGCTTCGCACACGCCTAGCCTACTTGAATTCAGAAGCAGCCATGGAAGTTGCACCAAAAGTCGCAGATCTCATGGCCAAAGCATTGGGATGGGGTCGCGCCGAGAAGAGGCGACAACTTGAGGCGGCTCAGAAAGCCATCGCATGTTTTGGTGGTCCTAGGCCTCATGTCAGCAAATCAGCAAACAGCTTGACAACTGGCACTGGTTCGGTGTCCGACATTGTGTCTTTGTGGGAACGCTTGGATCGGGACAAGAAAGGTTATCTAGACCTGGAGGATTTAAAGTTCACGGCCAAGAGATTGGGCGCACCATTTCAGAGCGACTGGGAAGCTGCCAGGACCTTCAAGAGAATGGATGCGGACCGCAATGGCCTTGTCGCAGAAGAGGAGTTCGTGCACTGGTGGCACAATGTTGACAGGAAAGATTCCTTTCGAAAGGCACTCGACAATCAATTCCCATTGAGCCCAAGCCAATAGGGTTCGTTGCCGTTGCTGACTTGATACCGCACCGGCACCCACCACACGGGACTACACTGTGTAGTCCACGTGACGGTCCTTCCTTTGACCATCCCTAGCTAGATTATGAATTTTAAATGGCAACTAATACTGTTCATGCTCAACACTGCGCAAAGCAATGCCAGAGTGCTGCAAGGTGCGGTTGGGAGGGCCAACCGAAGCTTAACTTTCCATCCACTTTGCCATACATTCGCGGGATAGCCACCATTGCCTTGGAGCACTGGCACTCTTACTTCATGGGCTTGGCCCTCGCACCTTGCCCAGGCTGTTGCGCAAGACTGCCGATATGGGTGATCTGGCTGTACAAAAGCATGGCATTGCAACACATGCCAGGATGTCACTGTCACTGGTGAAAGATCTGGGCAAATGGTATGATTTTCATGGAGAGTGTGATTTGGTCTTCCGCTGGTGCAAGGGACTGGATTGGAAACCACACCAGGACAAATAATGCAAGCTGCCACTACTTTTCACTGAATCTGCGCTGGAAAGGATGTTTTGGAAGTTGGTGCCTTTTGGTGGAAGGTGTTGAACCCAATGCTGATCTCTTTACTTTCGAAGTTTCCAATTGATTCCTCAATTTTCCAATTTCTCACAGTTCAATTTCCCAATTTCTCACAATTTCAATTTCGTTTGCATCCAATGCCGCCATGGTGCATATTGTGTTCCCAAACATCTCACAAAACAAAGATCCTTGTTCTTGCTTGATTGACGCTTCGCTTTTCCTTTACTTTGGCCAGCCGTATTATTATTAATCGGTACCGGAGTATACTTGGAGAGAAGAGAAGAGGAGAAGAGTATGGTAGAGTTTTCCGTTGCTCTTTGTGTCCAAACCTTCTGTATCGGGACTCTTCACTCAACTTATTGAGAAAACCAGACCCCAGGAGACGCATTCTCCAATTTCGAAATTCTCTCCTTTGGAATTAAACCAGGGAACTAACAGCGTGCCAACATTATGAGCAACACCACTATCACCGCAGACTCCCATCACCATGACATTCATGTGGCCCATGGCATTCTAATGCTGATGGCGTGGGCCGTGCTCATTCCATGCTCCGTCGCATGCTCCATGTTGCTGCGACGCGACGATTCGCTTCTATTTTTCAGAGTCCATTACATCCTGGCAGGATTGGGAGTTTTGCTAGCCATCATTGCATGGATCTTGGTGGCGCATTCTTCCTCGACGCACCAGGCACATCCAATCATGGGAACGTGTGTCATGTCCATCACCATTGCCATCATCTTGCTCTATCCAGTCATGGGTAAACCATCTCTGCCGAGAAACCCCAAGCAACAAATTGTCGTGTTGCTCCACAAGGGGTTGGGGAGTCTTCTATTTGTAATGGCAGTCGTTACGTTTGTATTAGGCATTTGGAGAAAGGCAAATGCAGTGATTTGGTACGGTGGATTGGGCGCTGCCTGTTTGATTACCTTGGGAGTTACAGGTGTGCTCCGACAAAAGCAAACCCAACAACAACCAGCTAGTGTGGGCGAAACGCAAAGTCTGTTGCCTAGAAACTCAGCCTGAGGGCTGGCGATTGGGTGAACCTGCCAAGGGACAGATTGTCGACGATGATCCTGAGTACAGTACTTTACAGAAAGCAAGTCGAGATATTGGATTGAATGGGTCGAGCATGGGTGCCCCACAGCAGCAACACCACGGCCTCCCGGCGTCTTGTGGGGTCTGCAGCACAAATATAGGCTCTCGTAGAGCCTCAAAGTGGCCTGTTGCTGATTGGCGTCCAGGAAACGAAGCGCAAGACAAATACCTGGTACCGACATGGGGCTGCATTGGGTTATGGACAAGACACGAGGGGGTTGCATTGGGTTTTGTTTAGATATGATTTACTGTACCGGTAGATTTCGAGTCGTGCTGTGCCGTGCGCTAATAAAAGGATTGCTTTGTGACAGTAGTTCCTTTGCTTCTCTCAAACAGCTCGATCAATTCTGGTTGCCCGTGACAGCGTTAGTCGCATCGCCAGCCATCAAAGGAGGAAACTGGCGGTTGTTCAAGACCAAAGTGGGAGGTTCGACCGCATTGGTGAGCAGCGTTGGGATATCCACCTGATGCACGGTGGAGCTGATCAGTAGAGAGGAATAGTCCACCTTCTCGATAGGATTCACGTTCTCCTCAATTACCGTAGCCATGACATTTTGCTCGAAGGAATGGCGAACTCCAACAATGACATGCAGCTCCCCACAAGCAATCGGGAGCGAACCACTACGAGACAGCGCGTCGAGAAGGTCCAGTGCTTTGTTGCTTTCCGTCTTTTTGTCTCCCGCCTTCAGCTTGGATGTCTTCATCTTTGTCAAAAGATTCTCTTGGCGCACGCGAGTCCACTCATCCCCTGTTTTCAAGGTCATGGTGCGAAGGGCGCCGTCCTTATCGAAAGATTCAAACACGCGGTCGAGCCTTTTGGGAATTGCAGTAAAGTCAAGCGCAGGGACTGCCCACTCCTTGCTGGCTTTGGGTGTGCCATCACTGCCGCGTCGGATATCTAGGTCCGAGAACTGATCTTGCAAATCATCAAACCCTTCCCCGTCGCCAAAGTCGACACTGTCAGCATCATCCTCGGCTTCGTATTGTCGCTGCGCTTGAGCAGCCGGAGGTGGTGTTACCATGGCAGCGGAAGACATATGAGCGCAACTCATTTTGTATCTGGCTTGGGCTGCAACTGGAGCCGCCCTTCTGGCGCGTGAAGCTGCGGCCCCCCGCACTTGAAACGACGTACCAGCTGGAATGGGGAAAGCAGCGGATGAAACGCTCGGTGAGCCAAACAAGTCGCCAGGTGCTGGAGCGGGGGTCGCGCCAAACACAGCAGAGGCACCAAACGCAGCAGAGGCACCAAACGCAGCAGAGGCAGGGGCACCGAATAGCCCACCGGTAGGAGCGGACGTACCAAAGGCTGGGGCTGGGGCACCGAACGGAATCGAGGCACTAGTACGCGTGGAAGCTGCCCGTAGCCTTTCTTGTTCTAGTTTTTCCTTGTGCATTGCTGCTTTCCTGGCTTCCTCATGCAGTTGCTCTTCCTTGATACCCTTGATCACATCCAGGACTCCTTTCACGTGCTCCTTCACAGCGGAAACCTTCTCAGCCAGCGCGGCGGAATCAGCGCCATCATAGGACACCAGAGTGGGCGGGACTTGGTATTCTGCAAACAACGAGAGGAGATCTGTAGTCAGTTGAATCTCTTTGGTGAGTGCATTTTGTGGGAGGTTAAGTAGGCACTCCATCTGGGGCTTGACTTGAATCACACAAATTCCAAAGACACTGGAATCCAGTTGCTGCGCCCGAAAGGATTTGGCAAATCGTGCCTGTTCCGGCGAGAGGGATTGAATTGCATCGCGGAACTGTTTGGCACTGGGAAGGGCAGTCGTCAACAATGGGATCAGGATCTCGTCCTTGTTCTGTAAGAGTATGGCATCTTTGGGAGTGAACTCATTGGGACCAGAAATGTTTCCAATCAGCAACAGAAAGCAGGAAAATTGTCGGGCGCGGGCACTGATAAAGTGTTCCGCTTGCTGCTCGCCATTAAATTGAGTGTCGACCCATCCATGCAAATACTGATCGCCAACAAAGTCGATTGTCGTGGCTGCATTGAGGGGGATGGCCATGGGCGCAACCAGTGTGTCTCCTGGGATGTGACTGCAAAAGGTTCCAATGGTGTCAGCGTCTCGTTTTCCAGCGGCATCGTCGCCCGCAAAGAAGGCCGCCCCTCCACCATTTCTCTTTGCGAGAATGCTAAGCATCCCATCAGGGAACGAATTGGGTTGGCGAATCGCGTAACAAAATGGCTTTGGCGCATAGTTCTTCCCCATGAGTCTCTGATTGTGAAACTTGATAAATTCCTCAAAGTCTTGCGCTTTGACTTGTTTTCCAATGGCCGTTTCTAGTTGGTTGTAGAGCATCGCTTCCACATACTTGACACCGACGGCCCACTGACCGGCAATGTCCCGAAGATGCAGAAAGAGCAAGACGAGTTTCGCTTCGTATCCACTAATGAGCTGGCCTCCATCTGAAGGATCAGGGAAGTTTCCCATGAGGCTCATGAGTGCTTGCTTGAGAGAACGAGTCTGCTCCTGGAGGAACTTGGCGGTGTCTTGCAAGGGAATCAATGGCGACCCAGCAGGAGGCGCCGAAAGCGCCACCAGCCCAGCCCGTTCTGTATGCCCAGTGTTGCTGGTATTGTCGCCTGCCGAGTCCTCCATAAAGAGTGGTGCAACAGGAGCAAATACGTCGGTGGACTGGATCTTGTAAAGCCATTCCGCATAATTCTCAGTCTTTCCTCCCAAGAGCTCTTGCCACACGACATTTTGGAAATAGTGTAGGCACTGCGCCAACCAAGACTTCAAGTCGCGTACAAATAAAAGCGCCTCTTCGGTCTGTCTGTTTCGGCGTGGAGTCTTGGCGTTGTCACGGTCAATCTTGAACGATGCCACCATTGACTGAGGGTTGATTTGACGAATGAGAAAGGTCAAATCCAAGTCAAGGGGAGGACGAGTGTTGGGTGGGTAAGGATGTTTCTTCATTGTGGTGACCAATCGGGTAGTTCCAGTCCGAGTGCCCAGCACAATCCCCATGGAAGGATCCGTGCCAGCAAAGAGAGTCAGCGTGTGGCGAATTCCAGCCTTCCAGTGAAACTCTTTGATTTCCGTCAGAGTCTTGTGACTGTAAACAGTGGCTCCAGCAGCCTCTGGCGAAGAGACGCTGACTTGGTGAGTGGTAGGAGATTCAACCTGCCTCGTGGTTTCTTCCACGAATTCGCAGTCTTCATCCACGGCGAGACGCAGCGTCATTGACCGCTTCTGATCCAAGACGACCGCCAGCACTTGCTTTAGAATTTCTTCATTGAAGCCTTCCAACTGCTCGAGGACGTTCAGAACGGCAGCGATACCAGTGTTGGTCACGAACTCCACCAAGGCGTATTTGTCATCGTACTGGTGATCCACGTCTGCTGCGGCTTGGGGATTCTTGTTTTGATCCAGAATCTTCTTGACCACTTGGAGGCATCGCTCAACCTCCATGGGGACGTTGCTGTTGTTAGGAGCGCGAAGAGCCATGGTGCTTGAGGACAGATCGGTAACGATTAATAAAAGGAAAAGGGATATCCAAACAATAGACGAGGATGGAGAAGTAATAGTAACAGGAGAGACTTGTGAGAATGCCATCAAGCTACCGTGGTTAGCTTGCAGCAGAATGAGGGAGGTTCGGAGAAAGGAAGCACGAAACAGCGCCCAGCGAAATGGATCTTTCAGACACGCATCTATCGTGGAAATCTGTGCTCTCTTTTCCTCGCTAATTTCCACGCTAAACTCACAACCTCGGAAAAACAAAAAAACGCAAAGGGGATTCTTGAGGCGACCAATCGACAGTACCGGGACCTCTGTGGAAACTCGAGTCGTGCTACCGATATTCTCCTAAATCCTTTTGATCGTCTCCTATTTAATGGATTTCGTCTCCTAAAAATAGGAGACGAAACGGATCGTCTCTTAAATCTTTCGTCTCCTCTTGAATCATCTCCTATTTTCAACGGATCGTCTCGTATTCTCAACGGATCGTCTCCTAAGTGTACCATGTAAACTGTATGGTATCATCTCCTAAATCTTTCGGATCATCTCCTATTACGAAACGATCGTCTCCTAATTGGAATGTCTCCTACTGAATCGTCTCCTTAATATAGGAGACGATTGCTTTCGTCTCCTAAATCCTTTCAATCGTCTCCAATGCCCCGGGGTATCGTCTCTTAAGTATTTTGCCACGAATGACGTTTCCACAGAGATCCTGGTACCGGTACTTTGGGCACCGCTCAACCCGCTAGTAAAGATTGTTTGGAAATGCGATCCATCCAACCAATAAAAGCTGATGCGGTGCTAGCTAGGGTGGACTTCGGCTATCTGCAGGACCGTCCAACGGTTTTCACACAGGATTTAAAAAATCTTGAAATTGCCACGACTGACTGACCGTTTAAAACAATCCCTTAAACAATCCCTCAACTCATCAACTATCCCTTAAACAATCCCTTAAAGAAACAATCCCTTAAAACAATCCCTTAAATCTTGGACTATCCCCTAAACAATCCCTTAACGCCAAATGGAAATACCATACAACTATCCCCTATTTCTTCAACTATCCCCTAAACAATCCCTTAAATAAACAATCCCTTAACAACAATCCCTTAAATCTTTGACTCTCCCTTAAACAATCCCTTAAGAAACAATCCCTTAATTGTGCTGGTCAAGTTTTTTGTCAGTCGTGGAAGCTTTTTAAATCCTGAGTGAAAACCGTCGGACGGTCCAGGGCGAAAGCCAAAAGGCAACTAAGGCCGCTCTCTACCCAAGCGACTAAAGTAGGGACTAAAGGAGTACTTTAGCACCTTGTTTAGTCGCAGATTTAGTCCGTAACCTTTAGTCAAGGAGGTGTCTACCCTCCACGGACTAAATCTCGAACTATCCAGTTTAGTCGATATTTTAGTACAAACTTTAAGAAAAACGTTATCTACCACGATCGACTAAAGGTTTCGACTAACCAACGTTTTCGTTTTGGATTTCGTTGGTTCATTTCGCTAGCCAGCTAGCGAAACTCATCATAATTTCGCTAGCTTGTTCATTTCGCTAGCTAGCCTCTTGTTCTTTATTGTTATTATTCACTGAGACCATGGCCAACACCAAGAAGAAGGCTAGTGAAGAGGACGAGGAGTCCTTTGTTGGCGAGGAAGAAGAGGAAGAGGAGGTATCGCTGAAAGACGGAGAGGACGAACAAGAGGAAGACTCTGATGATGATGATGAGGACAGTATCGCCACTGTAGACCTTAAACAGCAGCTTATTGATAAAATCAGTGAACCATTGAGGAGATCTCCTCGGCAGAAGATCAAGGTTACCACCAAGGCTGCCACCACCAGGAAGAGACCTCGTTCTGGCAAAGGCGGCAAAGGCGGCAAAGGCGGCAAAGGCGGCAAAGGCGGCAAAGGCGGCAAAGCCGGCAACAACAATACTAAGAAAGTCAAGAAGACCACCGCTGTCGCTGATGACGACGGCAAGTCCAAGCGCAAGCGTGGTACGAATTTTGATGATTTTGAGGATCAACTATTGTGCCGTGCCTTCATCAGTGCCACTCAGAGCATGAAGCGCACCGGTATGAAGAGAGGAGATTTCTGGAAGAATCGAGTTGCTCCAAAATACAACAAACTGCTCTCCCAAGAGGCTCAACCTGATGAAGACGGTGACACTATCTATACAACGCGAGTCGCTGACCAGCTCCGTCGCCGTGGAATTTACTTGCGGGACGCTGCCGAAAATTCATGGCTTGTTACCGTCGGGCCCATGCCGAGCACCGTACGGATTCAATTCAGAGGAGGACTATATTGATGTTGCCGTGGAGCTATACAATGAGGAGACAATGAAGCTTTCAATCATCGCAATTGCATTCCCCACTTACCGAGTGGCCCTCTTTTATCCCCATATCACCGAGACAGAAGCTGATCGCAGAATGATGAGTTGAATGCTGAGCCAATCGGTGTTGACGAAAGCAAGCCGAAAGCCAACAATACTCGTGATCCAATGGGTTCTTTGCATACCCGACCCACTGGCAAAAATACGACAAAATTCAACCTGGCTCTTTCCAACTCGGTGGCTTCGAGCAACCAGGAACAGCAATCAACATTTGGAGTCCATTGCCTTTTCCCAGAGATGCTCTACCGAGGGAGTAGTCCACCGTGGAATCCAGAAGTCCAAGATGAAACGGGTGGAGCTTTTGATGAAATTTGGAAAGATGACGGAGGCCGAAAATTGTTGCAAGAAACACAGCTGACGAGAAAAGCATTCCAGGAGCGGCAAAATCAATTGGCGGGATGGGCGAACAACAGCAACAGGCGACCAAAAAACAAGCGCATACGTCCTCCAACCGTAGTTGAAGAGAGAAAGAAATCTGGCAGCCCTGATTCCTCAATGACAGATCCCATGGCTACTACTGACACTGCCGCGGCTGCTACTGCAGCTGTTGCTGTTGCCGATGACAGATTCCACTTGTCTATGCCGCCACCGTATATCGACAGGATGACAACACAGTATATCGACAGGATGACAACAGTGGAACATTGAGCCACCCAAAAACTATACCGAGGTTTAATTCAATAACTATAGTCTGTGTCCAGTTTTAAATTATACTAGAGCCACATGTAGACGCTCATGCTCTTTGATATCCATCAGCGAATGCCACTTTTGCCTACGAACCATAGTATCTCGAACACTCATTGGTTGTTCCTCCCAACCAATCTCGGGTGGCTCCTCTACTCGTTTTTGGACGGTTTGCCTGTCAGCCGGCACATCGATGACAATTTCTCGATCAACTGTAGTGACACTTGGATCGTACTTTGCCCTCACATCTCCCATCACCCGATCCACAACACACATGTTGTTGAGAATGAGGCAGGTGTTGACAAGGTTTCCGATTTTGCGCAATTCCACATCCAGGAATGGACGAGCCATAAATTGGAATTTGGCCTGAATCACACCGTCTGCCCGCTCGATGTCCTTCCTAGACGCCTCCTGCCAAGCGGAATATTGTTTCTCCCAATCCAAAATTGGCTCGGAAAAAGTCTTGAACAAAACGGGAGTATGGGTATATACCGTCAACCAAAATAAAAATCTGTGGAAATTCTTCATCGCCAATGTCAAAAGGGACGTCGCCACCAATAGTCTCGAGATCAGTAAGCTTCCCGCTGATCATGTTTACCAGCAGAGGCGACATGTCGAAAATTGTTATGTCATTGATTGTTCCGGCATAGCCGAACGAAGCATGCCAGAAGAATAAATTATAATCGCACATTGCCTCCAGAACAAGGGTAGGGACCTTTTTGGCTCCTTTGAATGCTCCTTGCCATTCGATTGGGCACTGCTTCCATCGATTGTGAATACAGTCAAGACTTCCAAGCATTCCAGGAAAACCGTGGGCCGCCAAGTGAAGATTGAAAATATTTCGTAAATCAGTGGCAGTAGGCAAACCAAGATACTCGTCTTGATACAAATGAGCCAGGATGTCATCAAAGTTACTGCGGCAATCCCTTGCGAAGGTCTTCGACATTTGGAAATAGTCACTGAATGGTTGAGCGGGAACACCGTATGCCAAACATTTCAAAGGCATCAATAGACGTGCGACCAAACATGATACCTTCCAGTCGAAAGCATCAGTGGACCCACTGTAGAACTCATGACCCGAATTCATGACATCTTCTCTCAATTTCTGGTAACGAGGACGGCTGATGCGGTAGATATCCTCAAATTCCTTGAAATCAAATGTAGGGAACGGTCCAAGATAGTCGTCTAGAATACACTGGAAAGCTATGGCATGGTTGTATTGCTTCCTAGGTTTCCTTGGCAAAAGACGGTGGTCAACCATGGGCTTTTGTGTGCCATCGTAATCATCCGTTGCCAACATTACAGCGGTATCTGCCATTCCCATGACGATGTCCAAGGCCTCACTGGAAGAGTCGGAATCCGATTAGGACGACATAATAATAAAGGCCTACAACAGAGGTGCCCACCACAGAGATGCAAAGAGGCTACCGGTACAGTGACTATAAAGACAGTGACTAAAACGGTTGAGTTGCTGCTTCCTTGTTGGGCAAGTAGCTGCCTCCCTTGTTGAGGCTGTGCAATGGGGGTGCTGTTCTTTTTTTTAAGCTGTTCTTAAAGAAGCTTTAGTCGTTATGTTCGCTCACCGACTAACGGGAGGCTGGTTAGTCGGTGAGCGAACATAATGACTAAAGCCTTTAGTCCGTGGGACGTTTAGTCGCTTGGGTAGACACCACCCTCAGAGACTAAACTATCGACTAAACTACGAAATATGGCTTAGTCGCTACTTTAGTCGCTTGGGTAGAGAGCGGCCTAAGTCTCCAGTTTCAACCGAGTTGCAGAAACTCCTCTTCTTTGATCCCACGCTGCTTTCCAGAGCCAACAATGCGAATTGCAACGGGCAAGACCTACAGCCGAGATTGCTTATTTAGAACGCTAGTAGAGCTGATGGTAGCTACTCTTGTAGTCCGCTTCTTAAAGAATGCAGTGTTCCAGTGTTCTCTTTACTGGGTTGCCTGCGTGTGGACGTGTGGACCACTCTCGAGAGTGACTAAATCAAATTAGAATTCAAAGGCGGGAAGCTCACTCTACACTTTAGTTAGTTGGTCAGAAAGTAGCTCTTGATGCGTAGAGCTTATTTTTGCTTCGCTCGGTGGAAGTGGTTGGCGGTTGGCGGGGGCAACTGATTACCACAATAATGTTGCGTTGCTTGCCCCTCTCATACGTGGCCACAGGAGAAGGGAAAGGAGGATGGAAGCTGCAGTACTAGGAGATTAGCAGAGACACTTTCCCCTGCGCACCAGATGGCTTCTTGCAGCTTCGTGCCAACTGGATTTGCAAACCAGAGTTCAACTAAGCAAGCTAGCATCCCGGTATCACCATTAGAGCTCGCTGGCTAGGTAGCCACTCTAGTAGAAGTCCACCCTTCATCATGTATGTAATCAGATAATGCTCTCTCATCACTCTCATCTATTAGGAGTAGGTAGCATGAACTCTGTTTATCGGTTATCGATCATTGAAAGATGGCAGCCAGAGCTCCGAAGGGAGCGAGTTATGGAATGCATTGGTGGTCTTGTGGCGCCGAAACTACTGACATAGACTAGTCGCCAACTGGTACAGCCGTAGGTCGAAATGCAGGTTTGACCACTGGCCTTGGTTGGCTCTTGTGCAGCTCTTGCAATGGTGAACTGCGATAGCTACAGTACTGCGATCCCAGAGCCCAGAGCTGCTGGAGCAGCTAAATCGTGCTCTTATTGCGAGCTGTGCTCCAGGTAACCAGTAGTAGCGGAAACTGGCTATAGATCTTTGTTGAAAGCAAATCGCCACTGGACATTGGATTAATTATTATTGCCTCGAGAAACTTCAAAGCATTTTTCGACTTTTTCTAAGTAATTCCCTGTGTACCCCGGAACAACAAACGAAGGAACAAGGTGCAAGGCTGCACTGGCGGAGAAACCAGGGGCCTCATGCAACGAAGGGCTGAAGGGCTCCCTCAAGTTTCCCAACACAACACTGAAATCCTCCGGATGAGGCCACACGACACTGCAGGAACGCAGAATGGCCAAGAAGAAGCTGCTGCAGCTATGGAATGAAATTATTTGACCTTGTAAAGGTTGGGTTCATCAACAATGACATACGATTTTAGCAAAGAGTGACTGGATTAAGTAAATTTTACTTTAACAGGTCAACAAAGACCCCACTACAAAATGTACTCCTACCGGTATACAGTAGAGTACAGTAAGTGCTGAAAGAGAGGTACGGTTCAAAGTCAGATTGGATTTTATGAAATTTAATGTCGTCAAAATGCTCTTCAAACTCAAGCGACAAAATAGATGGCAAAAAGCCTTGATAACTTGAGAGGCGTTCCAGCAGGCTACCTTTATGACATAAAGGGATGAAGACGAGCTGATTTGAGGGCATAACAAGAGAGCAACAAGATCTCGCACGATCTGCGATCGGTGTGAACCGGTACATTGAATTATTAGGGTATATTCCCTAAGTAATGTTCTTCGACGCGAAGCCGAACTTCGTGACCAATGGTACTACATGTACTGCACCCCGAGCCCCGAGTCTTACTTAATTAATTACATAGGCAGTACCCGAGTACCATCAAGAATCAAGAGTCTACTCGGAGTATTATATTTAATATTTGGAGTCATTATTCATGGTGAGCTCACGGTTTCGGTTTCCACGTTGTGTTGCAAAAGGATCATGGCAGTCATGGTTCTTGGACGGTTGGACATCCCTGCAGTTTTGGGAGAGAAGCGACTTCGGATGGTCTCTCGGTAGCATCATTTGCATCAGACTCGACTCGGTAAAACACTCACAATTTTTGAAAACTGTTTCGCTTCTTTGCATTACCAGCTACTTTACCTCACTTTACTTTTACCATCCACCTGAACCCCAGCAAGATGAGCAGCGACAAACCGAAAGAGAGCACCGAAGATGAAGAGATGGGCGGTCGAGGGCCCTTAGAGACCTCCAACACAGATCCTGATCTGTCAGAGCTCTCCCATTCCTGCCACTCGGAGTGTGCCAGGAGGACATCGGAGATCTCGGTCAGGATGTCCCAACTTCGTGAGTCTCAACACAAACGTCGTGATTCGTCCCAACACCAGCGACGTGATTCTTCCCAACACCAACGACGCAGTTCTTCCATGGGTTTCGCCGCTGCTGCCGCTAACGACCTGGAAACATTCGAGCAAGAGATGCCAGAACCAGGAGAAGTGATCACCATATCCTCTTTGCAGGATTACAACGGCGGCAATGTCTACCAGAAGCTGGACTCCTTTATCGCACAGCACGACTGTGTCATGGTCAACCGCAGTTGGTGCCTCTTTTCCATTGACGCCCTCGACTTTATGACGCGTATGGGGGTTGACGTATATTCCATCGAAGTGGATAATCACCCACATGGAGAAGCGATTGTCAAGTACCTCAAGCAAAAGCTCGAACATTCCACGTAAGTCATTCTTCTACCTAGCTAGCTACGGTAGCTAGCTGGCACACTGTGCTAGCTAGTGCTTACTTCAGGCTTCTTATCTGACTCACTCCATTTCCCCTTTCCACTCCTTATACATAGTTCTCCTTGGATCTTTATCAAGGGTGACTTTGTCGGTGGATACGAAGATGTCAATACGCTTTACAGCAAGGGGACCCTTCAAAAGGACTACCTTAGCAAGCTTACCCAAGCGGATCGCTGTGAACTGATGGCCGCCAAGTCAACCACAAAACCACTCTTTTGGTTCCCCGTCACAGTCAACGCACATGCTGTTCGGTCCACGGGAATTGCCACCAGCCTGTTGGCCGCCACGGCGGCCATTATGGCACTCGTTGTACCTCCCGTAGGGCAGATTATTGCCTACTATCTGGTCCTCGACTTTATCCTTCGCATCGTGGGCGGTGCTCGCTGGGCTCCCGTTGGAATCATTGCGGCCGTCCCCGTCAAGGTGTGGGAACCCAAGCCACGGTCCGGTCGTCCCAAACAATTTGCCAGCATGTGTGGATTCATGTTCTCCTTCCTCGGGTCCGTCTTTTACCTCATTCCATTCCCCTACCACGACTACATTGGCTCGATCTTTATTGCCATTCTCGCCATTTGCTGTGGAATGGAGGGATTCTTGGACTTTTGTCTGGGATGTGTCTTCTTCCGCATAGGACTGCAGCTGGGGCTCATTCCCAAGTAAGTGCCGTGTGGGTACCGTAGGAAACAAAGCACTACCAAAGGGAAGCAATTCAGTCAGGGACTGGCTTTCTCCATCATCAGGCCTCCGCCTCCTCTACCTGGCTACTTTACAAATCGATTAGATTGTAATTCAATAGCAACAGTTTCATAAGATCAATGCTCATCGCTGCCCGTAGGCACTATAAACAGGTGCCTCGGAAGCACTATACATATGAGTAGCCTCGCCAAGATTTACCGTCGTCTGAACCTCATGGGAAACGAGCCTTTGGTGCGAAGGTCCCGACTGGCAAAGCTTGTGATTGGTCCTGCTGTGCGATAACGGGATGGTACTGTTGAACTTCATCATTTCATGTCCATTTTGAAGTAGTACCAACCTTGGCAAACTAGCTAGCTAGAAGCATCCGAACCTGGCTGATTGGCTCAGACTGGACTGCTCTGTCCGCTTGCCTCGCCTTATAACCAGCCTTTGTCACCTGCAAGCCTGCTCAGTTGTCGCCTTTGGTTGTCAGAAAACCATGTGCTGGCCAAGCAGACACCGAAAAGCATTCGAACGTCCATGTAAAGAAAAGCAGGTTCGTCAAAATGATTTTTATCAAGGTCCCCATAGATTTTCGTGACACATTCATAGATTTTGTTGGCTTTGATGTTGTCCGGCTTGTTTTCCAGATGCTGGCAAATCAGCTTTGTGAGCTTCACCACCGAGTGCCGAGAATAATCGTAGCCCCCCTTCGAGTTTTCTTTTGGCAATTGAAGTATCGTCATCATTGCGTTAAAAATCTCTCCTTCCTTGACCTTCATCTGTTGATTGGTTGACTTGAGTTCTTCAACCTCTCTTTGTCGCTGCAGAAGCTCTGTCGATATCCGCTCAAGTTCTGCCCTTAGTCTCCCGTTCTCGAACACCACATCTTCAACCCGTTCCGATAGGAGAATCTTTTCCGTCTCCAGATTATCAATAAGCCGTTGGTCGCTGCGGCTACGTCTGTCTCCACCGAAAGGGCCTTGTCGACAGAGATTCCTGTGTGCAAAGTAGTCCGAGATGCTACCCCTCCAACTACAACCTGCTTCATGGTGATCACATTTGATTTCGATGGTGCTCCATATTCGATACCCCAGCGAACCCTCCCTCAAAGCCTTCACGTCAGTCGCCGGATTGCAGCTTCTACGGTCCAGCACAGGGCATTGCCGCTGATGGGCAAGGCTCTCCTGAATGCACTCGTCACAAAAGACATGACCACATTGCCTCAATTTCTTGGGTTTCAAAGGAACCGACATGCAAATGGCACATATGAGGTCTTTGGGTACCTCCTCGAGTCTGACAACAACTACCATGGTGGGTTGCTTGGGCGGGAGTTTGTGACATGTTGGTTGGACTTCTCTCGCAAAAACGGAACACCAGGACACTGAAGGAATTCTTCAATCCTCTTTCGCAAGGATAGTGCGGTACACTGTACGGTACCGGTACGTACCGGTGTTGAACCAGCTTTGCTGTTGTACCCGTACTCACTGCCTTTCTCCCTTGCCGTTGTGGCCGCACGTTGTTCGACCCCTCACCGGAGATCAGAAGAACCAGCTTTGCGATGCAACTCTACTTTTCCTCCGACTAGCTAGATGCTACCGGTAGACTCAACCACTCGGTATTGGCCCGTTTCCCTAGCTAGCGTTTGAAGTGGTAGCTACAACCAGCCTACGACGGTATTGGGATCTTTGCTGTCTTCAGCTGCTCCTGCCTCAACTGAGCTCACAAAACCAAAAACCAAATCAAAACCACAGCAAAACAAAAAGCATTCAAACAAACCCTACAGAGTGAGACCTACAATAACACAGAGATCGACCAAAGAACCAAAAAAGCAAACAGCCACCAAGAAACACAATCCACCAAGAAACACTCTAAAACATGAAGATCATTGCAAGTGCCGTAGCCCTTTTGAGTACTGTCAGTGCAGCTACAGGAACAACTTACCATGAAGACCCTACTATGCATCTCACAGGTTGGCATAACAGGAATCAAGTCTCCCCAGAAGAAGATACAAAGCCAGTTCACATTGGATCCATTCAAGCCGAACCAGTCCACTGGAACTTGACAGCATCCATTGACAAGTTTTGTGACTTTATGGTCTCAGCTGGAGCAGCAAACATGGACTTGGTCGCCCTGTCAGAAGGATTTCTTTCAGGGTATCCCTGGTTCAACTTCTTTGCTTCCACATATGACATGGCCTCCAATTCCAAGATTAGTCAGCTCTTTGCTGAGAATAGTCTGCAAGTTGGGAGTGCAGAGATGGCAAGAGTTCAGGAGTGTATTGCTGAGGCAGGAGTCAATGTAGTTCTTCCAATCAATGAACGTGATGATAAAGGAAGCCAGGCTGCCGTGTTCAACACTGCCTTATTCATCGACAAGTCAGGAGAGATAATTGGAAGACACCGCAAAACACTGCCTTCATTTACTGAACGCTTCTGGTGGACTCAGGGTGATGGAACTGATCTTGTGGTTGTAGACATGGTAAGTGCCTCAAAGTTGAAACATGACAGGCTTTGTTGTCATATGAAAAACACTGTTTCACAAGCCAGTCTGCCTCCTTGACATAGCCTGATGTTGGCAGAGTCTGCTCACTTCTCTGCTGGGAAAGCTACTTGGTGTTGGCCTGTTACACCTTGATGGCCCACGGTTGTGAATTTCTAGTTGTTCCTACACAGGATATTGGTATGTACCACCAACAATGGACTGATGCTATCATCAATGCAGTCTGTACCAGTATGGTTACTTGAGCAATCTTTCCCTATGACATACTGGTAACTCACAGTTTGTTGTGCTTTCCAGGGAGCATTTGGGAAAGCCATGTTTCAGACATTGCTCGTGAAGGACGTTGGTATGTCATTGCGCAAGGACAGGTAAGCACTGGAAGATGCTGTTGTTTCACATGTTGCCTTGTGCCACAAGACCTCGCATGCAACACAATCTCAGGTTGTGGCCCCCTATGGCGAGGCAATGCAAAGAAGTGCCATCGCTGGAACACACACACAGCCTGGTGGTTCACAGTGGTACCCTCGTCTGCTTGAAGGATTCAAGAATGCATATGGTTGCACTGGCAGTCCACTGATTGCCAATGCAACAGAGACTGTCAACCGACAGAACCTGCTCCGTGGGAGCTCTGCCACAGCTGCAAAGGAAAGCCAAAAGAATGTTGTTGATACTGTCAGTTGGATCCCAGAACCTGTGCCACTTGACCAAGCTGTGGAAAAGTGTGCAACATACTTCATGGATGGTGGCATGTCCATTGCCGATCCAAATGGTCGCTTCTTGGTGAATCCCATTCACTCCAACTACATGTATGCTGACACAGTGAATGCAGCACGTTCTGGCTGTGTTCACTCACTTGGGCCAGGAATACCAGAGGAAAGCCATTGTGAGTTTGTGGAAGTGGATGGGGTAAGTAGGAGTGATCGTTACATTGCCTTGATATGGTTTCCTTTGCATTCTGGATGCTCATTGTCTTCATGGTCTTTCCTACTTTCCACAACAGTATAACAGGGATGAAGAATTCATTGTATTGGCCAATGCTTCCCGGGGAGAAGTTCTAGCTTCAAAGCTGTACCAAGACAATGTTGGCAATTATGCACGCACGGATATCTGGAAGGTTGAATGGGACAATGCCCCTCAAGATTACATCTTTGAGACTGCTGGTAATAGCAACGGCAACCAGCACGGCAACGGCCTGTAGAGTGCGACAGGACCGTTCGTTTCAACCTTATCGGACGAATGTGTGGTATTCATCTCGGACAGATGGACTAACTCTTATTCCTAAAGCCCATTGTCACTAATATCAACTGATAGTCACCAATATCAATTGACTATGGTTTGATTCGCTGAGGTTTGGGTGGAGCTTATCGACACCAATGGACTATGCATACCGGTATAGCTGGTCAGTCGACGGGCTTGGGCGTTGTTGCTTCGGGGATGACTGTTCTGAGTTCTCATGCATTGCCACCGACGCTGTCTTGTTGTCCAAAGGTAGGCGTTACCTTTCGTATTGTCGTGAGATGCTTGATCCAACTCCTCAGATCGCGGCAACACCCAGCTTTCGTCGAAATGCTTCAATGAGGGGCATTTGCAGCACCATGATAAGCCCCTGCCCGGTACATGCTGGCAACCAGCCACGATACATCCACTTGCAAAGTTGCAGGGGATGCACGGTTCTTCCATCCGGCGACAACAACCGGCCTACATTATTCATGACATCATTCCATCCTTTGCCCAGCATCATATGGCTCTTGACAGTGTCAATGGGCATTATGACAGTTTGTGCCAAGACACCACTCAAGAATGCACAAGTAACATGCAAGAGTGGTCCTTCTTGAGCCCATTGACTACCGTTGGCATGCGTTTGTTGTTGTCTCCCCCGTGCCAGAGCGTATTGTTTCATTGTATCATAACTGGCCAACTGAGCTCCATTCAAGACGCAGGCTCTTGCAATGGTCACGCTAGCACCTCGATAGAGACCCTGGGACAGCCCTTCGTCTCGCCAAATTGTCATCAGTGCGGAGACCATTCCAGAATACCTTTCATTTGCAACAGAACAACGACGTTCAGTTTGGGCGTTGACAACAATGCCTCGAATTATCTTGGACTTACCGTACTGGTTGTCCTTGTCTCAACCCAGTGGCATAGTAAAGAGGAGGAATGGAAGGGTTTTTACATGATATCGATTTGGCCATGATGACACCGGCGTCCGCTTGCAGCCTCGTCCTCACCACGTCAAGGGGGCATGACAACTACAAAGTAGTAGAGTGGGGATCGGCGGAACGCAGAAGGCAGGCAATGCATGAGAGAGAGAAAGGAACAATATAGGAACGTAAACGCTTGCAGCACTTTACTCACCATGCTGCCCAGACCACCCGTGATCATACCACTCAGGATGCGATTGCGAATCAGGGTAGCAGAGTTCTTGCTGCTTTCATTATTACTCCACTGCCCGACCTTGTCTCGAATAGTGGGATACAACCCAACTCGATAGGCGCCATACAGCATAGATCGAGTCAAGGAAGCCGACAGACCGGGTGTCAATAGGCCCCTAACGATGCCTTCTTCTCGAGCAATCTGGGTCATCACTCCCACCATGGTAGCATTGGGGTAGACAACCGACGCTGCAGGACGAGGAGTGTGCAGCATGCGAGTGGATGTGACGTTAGTAGCAGTGTGTCCAGCCGTCATGGGCATCATTGTCGGTTTATTATGAGCCACATGGTGATGATGGCTTTGGCTGATGTTGCCAGCACCATTGGCGTGTTGTTGGCTGTGAAGTTGCAGCTTGACCTTGGTTGTTTCAAAACCATTCAAGAATCCATTGGCGATCGCACAGCCGGGCCCCGCTGCCAGCATTTCCTTCAGCACAGTGATATCGGGCATGTTGCAATGTCAATATCTATCTAGTGGATACTCAGTAGAAAACAAACAACAACCGAACAGAAAATGGCAACACTTCCTTCTAGTGATGAATGTCGCCTTGGAAGAAAAAGCAGGACCTCGAGGGAAGGTGACGATGCCAGGCACGGTACCCAATATCTCTCGAGACCAAGGAAACTTAATGGTGCCGGTACGCCTCTCAAAACCCAGAGATAGCTAGCCAGAACGATGTAGCTAGCTACCGGTAGTCTAGCTAGATACCGCCAACTTTTCCCTTTGGGAGGACCAATGGGATGGGCAACAGAACGCAAATGCAACAGATTCAATCAAAGGCTTCAAACTCAGACTTCTTGCTTGATGTGACAAAACGTGTCACTTCTTTTCTTCCTCTTTGATTGGCTGACGTATGACCACAAAATTGCCTCCACCACGCGAGTCGCACACTCCGCGCGATTGGGAATGCTACCGGTACCAGGTACATGTACCAGAGCTTGTACCGTACGGTACTGTATGCTATGGTAGTTTCACTTCCGGAAGGGGCTACCGGTACCAGTCCCAGCACCAGGAAAGTCCCGCAAAAACTGAGTTTTTGCGATACTCTTTAATCAAACAGAATAAATCCAACAAGTGTTGAAAAAGTGTTCATTAAAGTGTTGAAGAACTGTTGATTTAACGTTGACTCGGTTTCAACAACTGTTGGATTTACTGTTGAATTTTTGTACATTATTTTCAACACTTTTACTGTATATATCTACTAATGAATTCAACATCCGTTGAATTCAGTGTTAAATGGTATTCAACAGTGTTGAAAAAGTGTTGAAAAAGGGTTTAAATAAGTGTTGAACAACTGTTTAACAAAAGTCAACACTGTTGAGTTTAAATTCAACACTTTTACAGATCCTTTCAGCGATTCCGGGACTTTCCAGGGTAAAGGGGGTCAAAGTAGGGAACATATAATATCTAGCCAGGTCTACCGAAGCCGGCGAGGGCCAGAGGTCTCTTGTGTGACTATGAGTAGCCTGAGACCAACCCAACCGTGGTACCGGTACTGAAGAGAAGCAATGTTTTCCTCGCAAAGTAGTCTAGCTTGCTTTGGAGTCAAGAAGGCGTGCAAGTTTCGGTGCTTTCACTGCAGCAACTAATTAGAATTAGACGAACCACTCGGCAGCGCCATGTGGAGAGAATGATTTGCACGTAGCGCAAGCGTTGCTGCAATCAGAGGCCCAACCTGGGCTGGAACAGGCATTCTCACCGACAACGGTACCAGTACAGCGTACCGTACCGTACCGTATACATGTAGTCCAAGACAATGATCGTCACCCCTCACTCTTATGTAGTTATTATTGTGTAGTTGTGGTAATAAATAGTACTGCGTAGTCGAAATGGCTGCGATTGACTTTTGTCTCCTTGGTCAACAGCATTTCGATCAGTACAAAAACATACCAACCCCCAACTCTGGGAACACTTTGCCCTCTTTATTCAGGGAATAAAGAAAGCGCAACATCTTACGACCAAAGCGAATCAGGTTCATTTGACGGGCCAACCAAACTCTCCATAGCAGGCAATCCAGGAGCCTCTAAAGGAGATACTTCGTTGGCTTCAAATTGAATTTGAGACAGCTCCGGCGACTCCATCGGCGACATAGCCAAACCTTCCACTGGGGACACCTCAGACGACGCCTCCGTCGGAACCAAGCTTGGGCGTGACACCGGCTCCTCCTGGGGCGTTTCTGCCGCATCTTTGATCAACGGAAAGACCAAACTCTTATAGCTAGGCCCCTGCGCGAAAGGAGATGAAGCCCCGTTCAATGACAAATCGGTGGCCTCGAACGGAGGCAAGTCAGCTGCCTCGGGAATAGTGAAACCTAGTGCGTCCGTAGCCTCTTTGGTGTCAGCTGATGTAAAGCCCAAACCTCCTCCTGCATCGTTATATGAGGTGTGGGATGGAAAAAACATGTTGGACACGCCAGCTTTCGGGTCGCCCGAGTCAATCTCAAAACTGAGTCCAGAAGTCCGTTCCATCTCTTGAGGGTACAACAAAGATAGGTTGTCGCCAAAGAGCATGTTCGATGTATCGAACGTTGTATTTAGATCCGTCGATGCGTCAGTACCGGTGAAGATTGAGTCGTTGACGGCATACTTCTTTTGGGCATTGTTCTCCTCTTCCTCCGGGTTCTTCACATCTTTTCGTTCGTAGAAAAAACGAGGATCTACGGTTGCCCAATTGGGAATCTTACGATCCGACACCAAGCGCAATGCCTTACCAGCGTACACCAAACGGCGGTCGCGGTCCACACTTGCAATTGTCGCTAGGTCCTTGTCAGTCTGAAACTCGACGTGTGCCGAAGCAGTCTTTGCCATCGGATGCACAGGGTCGACTGCAGCTCTTTTTATAGTGATCTTGTACGTGTGCTCCAAGTAGTCCACGAGCTCCTGAATTTCCAGACTCCGGGGCAAATTTGTCAGAAACGCATTGTTTTTGCTTTTCGAAGCAGATGGTCGTTGCTGGGCTTTCTTCAACATTGGCACTTTTTCGGCCTCCCAAATACCCTTCATGGTAAGCCGAAGATAAGAATCGAGTGACAAACTGGTATTGCTTGACCCTTGTCCGTAGGAATAGAAAGGAACCAGCACAACTTCTTTCGTTGGCGATCGCAAATCTCGACGGCCCATTTCAACAAGCCCTTCAGCAATTCCATTCTCGCGAGTCGTCTTGAAACGCTGCTTTGCTTCGTCAGAAGAGAACCGCTTCAAGAATAGACCCTGGAAATCAGAGCCAGCGGATCCCATTGCTTTCCATTGAGAGTAGTCAGGGTTTTCTGAATCGAAACCATTAGAATTGACGCACTGCTCATATAGAACACGGCACAGCAGCGCTTCGTCGTCGAATTCAAGAGTAACATCGACCTGCGAATCTTCCGTACTCTCTTGACTCTGAGTGTCTCCAGAAACAGAGCAAGTTTCTACAGTTCGTGGCACCGAAACAATCGTGGCCGGAACGGGCTGATCGTTCGAAGCCTCGTAGAGCCGAGTAAGGTCATTGCCAGAAAACGTTGGAACACGCAAATCTGGAGAAATTGCCAGTCGCCCTTCACCAAAAGTGACTCCTGTCCCACTAATAGCCACTTGAAGCAAGTTGGCAGCTTCTTGACTGGTCGCCAGCTCGATATGAGCAGAGCACAAATTCAGTTTGGCAGCAACCAACATGGCACGTTGAACGACGCACTTGTAGGAAGTCTCCAGGAAGGTAACAAAGGTTCGAATATCGGTCCCCACGGGCAGTCCCAGTACGAACAGATTCTTGGTTTCCGCAGCACTGGCGGAACCACCAGAAGAATCGGTTCCAGTCACATTTTGGGCCAATCGAATATAGATTTCACCGCTGTATCGTGATGTATCACATTTGAATCCAACGGGATTGATGTCTCCTGTTCGAGGACCCACTTTCAGCCGACGCCCAACCTCAATACGCTTTTGATTCGCGGCATCGGCCCGAGCCTTTTTGAAGCGTTCCTTGGCTTGTTCGCTCATTTGGCACCCCTTGCCCTTTTTCTTGTCGATGAGCGTGTGGAAGGCATCGGCAACACCGCCTCCCTCGAACCAACCATCAGGAAGACCATCAGTCCCAAGTTGGTGCTGTTGCACCATTCGAGCTCGAATGATTTTGCACAGTGTCGTGATATCGTCATCTTGATTAGCAGCAGCTCTTTCCGAAGCAGGACGTTCGTAGTACCCATCGGGATCACCCTTGCTGCCGCAGTAGGACTTTTCGGACAATTCGTAGCTGACATTCATGATGCGCTCAAACATTTTGAACTGAGGTTTTCCGCTAATTGCCAACAAACGCTCGGCTTCGTCTTTTGACCCCACGACGACATGTGCGAATTGGAAGGAGCTCTTGGGATGAGCCTTTTGCACATTGGCTTGAATAATGTGGACCTGATGTTCTTGTTCCAAATACTGAACCAGCTCGTTGATATTGCAACGCGGAACATTCTTGAGAAACAATTTGGTATTGTTTCCGTCACGGTCAATTCCAAGTTTGTAAACTTTGTCATTGTCTCCATCATCCATGCTGTCTGCCGAAGTCGACGAGAGTCGTTGCTTGTTGACGGAACTTGACGAGGACGACGCGTTTGCGTTTCGTTCATAGTAATGCTCCGACGGTCCCGAATATGACTTGACGTTTCGATCAAAGCAGACTTCCAAGGTACGATTGTTCAATTTGATTCGATTTGCCCCCGCCGATCGACACAGGTGTTCTCCCATTTGTACCGTTTCGACCTGAATACTGGCAAACATGTACTGAGCGTTTGGGTGCATCTTCTTGGTATATCCCTTGACAATCACGACGGAAAACTCTTGTTCCAAGTACTGCACCAGATCCTTGATGCGACTGTTCGTCGGTACATTTTTGACGAACAAGTTTGCCGAATTCGTTTGATTGCCGCTGTTGTTGTTGCTATTGTTGTTGAAATCATTGGTGTTTGCCGCTGTCTTGGCGGAATTTTCCGCCAATACTTTTCCCTTGAGCGTGACTTTTAGAAAATCCTCCAGTGACCAGTATTGTGGATTCCCTGCTGTCCCATCACTTGGAGGAGCGACAATTTGTCCCGATGTAGGTCCTTGCAGGCTTCTGCGACCGTGTACCAACCACCCATTCTTGACGGCCACTTCTCGCGCTTTCCGGTAGATTTCCTTGATGACAAACTTGTCCACGGTGGTCGTGGCGCTTCCCGTTTTTTGCTGCAAAAAGGAGGTTCGAAAACTGACAGCAACCTTACTCCCCAGAATCCAAGTACCATGGGTTGTGTCTTTGACCAGATCTTTTGCCACGGCCGCACAAAGAATTTTAGCATTGTCGATCGGATTGGTCTGCAACAAGTCGTCTGAACTGGCAGAGCGACTGTTGTTGTTGCTGTTGCTGCCGTTCTGTTGCTGATTGACAAAGGGCGACAAGACATCCTTCTCAAAACTCAACGGAATATCCGCACTAGACTTGAGAAGACTCGCCGCCGTGCTGTCATTCCCATACATGACGACGGACATGACGCCGCGATCCCGCAGTTTGCTCAGCGTGTAGGCATAGTCTCCATCACTGGTCAGCAACACCACACACGGCTTGCAGTCGTCGTTGCTGCGAACGGCAGAGTCCCAGGCAAACGTCAAGACATCGGCAATCAACTTCTTGTCCAGCGTCTCCTTTTGGTTGCGCCGGGGAGTGTTGACCAAATCAAAGCCACTCGAATCCAAGGCACTCCACATGTTGTTGCCGTCGGCACCCGCTGCCATGTCAAAGTACAGGCGTCGATCCACAATCCGACCATGCTTCGACACGGCTTGAACAATCGCCTTGGCCGCATCCGCCGGCTTGGCCCACGATGGCAAGGGCAAATTCTGATAATCCCAAAACACGGAAAGTTCTCGCCCATCCGTCGCAGCCGTGCCGCGGCGCTGATCACCAAATGGCATCTTGCTAGCTAGCTAGTTACCTCTCTCCCTACCTCTGTCCTTGCCTTGCCTTGGTACCGGTACCACCACACGCTTGGTCAGCAATTGCGACAGCTTGAAGCTATCGAGACCAGAAGCGAGATATGAAGGTCGGCTGCAAACACGACGCTCTTCGGCGAGGCGTCCGCGACTTTAGGAAAGGTATGTGCATAAATGACACATAGATGGGGTAAACATTGCCTTGTAATATTTACATTAATTTACCTCATCTAATGATTTGATGGGTCGCACATTTGCTTTGGAAGTCTGCGGCTTTCCTACTGTACCGGTATGCTACCGGTTCCGCCGGTAGGAAGTACTGGACAACCAGATGCTCAATGCGTCACCTTGACCGCTCATGGGACTGGGACTTGTGCCGAGATGTACCATTACAAAGGACGGGATGGGAACGCTACATCGTCATCATCACCGTCAACATAGTACGGTACCTTGACCAAGGAAATGCAGTGCAGGGCAGTCCTCCAGCACCAAGTGGTGCTCTCCTTCTCCGTTTCCCAAAAAGAAGCAGCAGCTGGCTAGCTAGTAGCTAGCTTTTCTGCTTTGGTTGGCTCGTATTATCAGTGTGGTTCAGGCTACTTTCTCTCATGGTCAGCTTGCTTGGCACACATGGCAGAAGGAGGAATACTGTCCTGCACCAGCATCCCAGTTTGGCTGCATTGACTGAACAGTTGGACCAGTAGTGATCAAACATATCAGACAGCAAGGATGCACCACCCAAATGGGAAACAAAGCAATGCCCCGAAACTGGAGCGCTTGCCAAAACATACCCTTCATGTCTTTGACACTGCCAACATTCCAAGTGCTCAGGACCATTGTTGTTTTAAAAAGGCACTGGAACTTGCTCAAATCAGCACCAAAGTTAGTTGTTGTGGTCCATAAAGAACTTTGGAACAACCTTGTACCTGGCCAACACACCAGAATTCATTGGGGCCATACCTGGCAACAACTTCTTGTATTGCATCAGCATCTCCTCAAAAGTAATTGTTCACCACTGTTTGGATATGGGTCTGTCCATCAATTTCATTGTATCCATCAGAGTTAAAACAGACTGGTGTTGAAGGGGGATTGCTGGGCATTGCGAAGGGATGCCACTGGGAGAATTCATTGACATCCCAGAAGGACTTTCACTGGGCTCTGAGTTTGGCTCCTGGCTGGTACTGGTACTAACTGATGGTACAGCAACACTGGGACTCTATGTGGGCTCTGAGCTGGGCCCTTGACTGGTGCTCACTGGTGGCGCAAAGCTGAGACAAATTGTTGGTACCAAACTTGGAATGGCACTTGGAGCTGTTGTGGGGCTTCTACTTGGGGGAGATGATGGGGTACCATGTCACGAGGAAATGCACTCGTTTTACTTCTGGTACCTGGTACTGGTACTGGTACTGGTACTGGTACTGGTACTGGTGCTGGGCTTGGGCTTGGGCTTGGGCTTGGGCTTGGGCTTGGGCTGATGCTGGGTGCTTCAGGAACATTGGACTCCATACACCCTTGTGATGATAGACAGGATTTTTCAGCCTCAGGACACGTTGAATGTGTGAAGGCCCAATAGGGGGTTGCAGTGGATGGCAGGAGTTGACCCCATGCACAAAGATCTTGCTGAAAACTGTCCGCACTCTCAAACATGTACTGGATACTCTCAGCCTTCTGGACATTCCACACAGATACGTCTTGGTTGAACCATGTTGCGTCTTCAAGCATTTTGTCCGATGGTTGGTGTTGTACGCTTTCCAGCCGTCTCACCGAGTTGCCTTCTCCCGCGAGACTGCATCAAGAAAGAGTATGTGCTTCCACTCCTGCGCCGCCTAGATTGCACGATCGGGTCCTGCTGTATATGCAATGTTTCCTATCAAATCAGGCAACCCGGGCATATCACCATTGGAGCGGAAATGCTTGGCCGCAATCCAGCACCCGCGCCACTGTCAATTCTTCTTTGTCCCGTCTGTTGTCGTTGACATCAAATCCGTCAAAGGCTAAAAACAGTAGGCAACAATAAAACGCCGCGAATAGCAAGGGATGCTGTAGTGTATAAAACCTTGCAGCACCGTACTTGTTGCCTCCTTTGCTCGGTTTTGAAGATACTATATTCGTACGGCGAAGATTGGAAGTATTGGCTTTGAACTTCAATGCGCATTCTCCACACCGCAACAGTGAAAAAATCAGTTGGTTGATGAAAGGAGATGTGCAGTGGAAAAAGCAGTTAGTTGATGAAAGGAGATGCCTCTTGTCAAAGGTTGCATGCTCCAGCCTGATGTTGGGCTGGGTGGGTTGGGTTTGTTCTGCGCTGAAGATTCTCTTTCCAAAGCTTCTTGGAGTCACTCCCGTGCAGCCTGCCAGTCTTGGAATAGCAGTCTGTCCGATGTCAGTGTTGGTGCTGTGATGCGCTCCCAGCCAGTGATGGTTGGGAGATAAAATAGAGAAGTCCGTTTTCAGGGGATGGAGTCGTGGAAGAACCCTGACAGGTGACAGTGGACTGATCGTCTGATTGCATCTTCGCATCTTGGGCTCACAATTTGGACACAAAACCAAAGTAAACGCAAACAACAAACAGAACACTTCTAACTACTATCAACAAATCGGCAAAAACACAAGACAACAACTGATGAGCAAGACATATGATGCTATTCCTGTGGTTCTCCTAGCAGAGCCACTCGATTCGCCTAACAACACGCGCACCACCAACTTGGCCCTTGCCAAAAAGCAGCACAAGGACATTGATGAGCTGCAACTGGAGCGCTTGGTCGAGCAAGGATACTCACGTGGCCTTGCAGAGAGCTTGACCAAGACCAAGGCCGCCTTTGGCCAACGTATCTGGATCATTGACAACTCTGGAAGCATGCGCCACACTGATGGACATCGCATTGTCCCCACTCTGAAGAAGGGGGACGTCAAGATGGTTCCATGCTCTCGTTGGGAAGAAATTCAAGAATGTGTCAAATATCACATTGCAATGGCAGGAGCAATTGAGGCTTCCACATACTTTCGATTCCTGAATCACCCCGGTGCAAATGTGGGCCCTCAGCAATTCTCAGTTGCTGACAACTCTGAGCGCATCATGGAGGATGTCCATGATGCCCAAAACATCATCCGCCGTGCCAAGCCTGGTGGCTGCACACCACTCACCAGCCACATCCTGGAAATCCACCGTGAAGTCAAGGCATTGGCCCCTGAGCTTCGCAGGACTGGCCAGAGAGTGACAATTGTCATTGCCACCGATGGGCTACCGACTGACGAATGTGGCTATGGTGGCGAGGTCCTGCAGAAGGAGTTCGTAGATGCTCTTCGCATGTTGGAGGGCCTCCCTGTGTGGGTTGTGATCCGCCTCTGCACCGATGAAGACAAAGTCGTGGAGTTCTAGTAAGTTCAGCTTCCGCCATCTCCTTCTGTTTGATTCCATTCATTCTCTGACCTTCCTTTCTGCTTGATTTGATTCGTTTCAACAGCAATGATCTTGATGTGATCCTTGAACTTTCTGTGGAAGTTCTTGATGACTTTGTGGCTGAGGCCAAGGAAGTCTGTGAATTCAACCCTTGGCTGAACTATGCTTTGCCAATTCACCGCATGCGTGAGATGGGCTACCATGATCGTGTGTTCGACATGCTTGACGAGAGGCTGCTGACTAAGAGCGAGCTTCGTGATTTCTGCTTTCTCCTCTTTGGAGAATCGAACTTTGATGGCGTCCCTGATCCTTCTTTGGACTGGGATGGATTCATCCAGAATGTGGAGAGACTTCTCCAGTCAGAATCTCTTCAGTGGAACCCGGTCAAGCAGCGCATGAAGCCCTGGATCAGTGTCAAAAAGCTCAACCGCTGCTATGGTGGTGGTGCCACCTGCGTGATTCTGTAACGAACGGCACCTCACTTCATGCACCACCTCAAAGAGACCCGGCAAGCCCGCGAAAGAACTCACCGAAACCGACATGAATACATGTAGCCTGCATAATTCTGTAATGCATTTGATTCCATAACTTCAATGATTCCATTCGTTTTTTTTGTATACGATACGGTACGCCCGATTGATTCTTGGATATTTAAATATGGTGCACTGTAGGGTTGTGGTGACGAAGATCTTCGCAAAAGACAATCAAAGCAAAGGGTTCGAAGCAAGCGATTTATGAAAAAGCAAAGATGAACGTAGCATTGGGAGCGCGTTGAGAAAAATGAGGCAACGTGACAACGTGACGGCTGCGTGGCTCACTCACTTCCATCCAGTCACGAATTGTTTTGGAACTTCGATTGATCATTTCTAACTTTTTACCCTTGTTGTATAGGGCGGGTTTGGGGATGAAAGCAAGGTAAGCTAGTCCAAGTACACTGTATCAGTTGTCTGTCAATTCTGTTGTATTGACTCTGTCGTTCCTTTTGTCGGCAACTCTTCTGTGGGCTGCGATAAAAGGGAGGAGAAAAAGGAGACAATGGCCTTTTGCTGTGACCCGGCAAAGCTTGAGTCACTAGTCAAACAAGACTGCCAGTTCTCCTTTTTAGCATGGCTGTACATTCCGACTATCGACAGCTTTGGCAACAAAAGAGCACCATGACGACCGAAACGACCGCTTTCACAGAAGAGGAACTTTCTCAGATACGTTCCAAGACTGTGGAAATAATGGGACATCTTGAGAAAAAAGAAATGATACCAAAATCTTGGATTCGAGATGGCCATGAGATTGACGCCAACGACCAGAGATCTGACCGTTGCATGTACTTTGATACCCATGGTTTCATCAAGGTAGATCAGTTTTCTGGTATGTACGACATTGGTGGTATTGGTTGGCTTAATTTTTTGTGTATGGAAGAAGGGCAAGCTTGGCTGCTTGATTGACCGGAAGGCGGACTATGAATTGGTACTTTTGTGAGTGTTGTGTTGCTCATGGGAACTCTAACTTTTTTGGCAATTTCACTGCGATATTTTTGTTTGGCAGACAAGAAGGAAGTAGAAGCACTGCGAAACCAAATGGGATCACTTGCAGAACAGTGGGATCCTTCCTCTGGAATTGATTCCTTTGGGACGGATACAAAAGAGAATCGGAGTCGAGGAGACTATTTTTTGGAAAGCTCGAGCAAAGTTCATTTCTTTGCCGAACCGACGGCTCTGCTGGACAAAGAGAACAATCAAAAGGAGTTGAAACCCGAATATCAAACAGACAAATTATCCGCGCTCAACAAATCCGGTCATGCCATGCACATGATCCCTGGCGCCTTTCAAAACTATGCCAAGAGCGAAAAGGTTCGAAATTTGGTCCTGGACTTGGGGTGGAAGGATCCCGTAGTGCCACAGAGCATGTATATCTTCAAACAGAAACGAATTGGAGGAACCGTGACATCCCATCAGGATTCCACCTTTTTGTACACGACACCCAAACAATCCTGCTTGGGCTTGTGGTTGGCCCTGCACGACGCAACCTTGGACAACGGGTGTCTCTGGGTGCGACCTGGATCGCACTGGGAATCCACGAGGCGACAATTCAAACGCAATCCACTGCATTTTGGAAAAGAGGCTGTCAAAACTAGAAGCAATGAGGCCAATGGTGACACGTCGGCGCCCAAGTTTGAAATGGAGGATTTGGACGGGGTCCAGCAGATCCCCTGGGATGGAGCCATTCCGGAGGGTGGCTACGATGCCTTGCTGGAAGCAGGATTTGTGCCAGTGGAATGCAAAGCGGGAGACTTGTTGGCGTTCAATGGGGAACTAGACCACCTCAGTTTACCCAACTTTAGTGACAAACCACGACATACATTTCAGCTTCACATGGTCGAGGGAGACCGAGCGGGTGTCACGTGGTCAAAAAGCAATTGGCTGCAATATCCAGCCGGTCTTCCTTTCATGAGGTTAGTAGAGTAAACATCCTGATATTATATGTACTACCGTATGTATTGACCAATAGAAGTAGCATTAGTTTGAGGAGGGCACCTGCTTTACTAGCTAGCTAGGAAAGAATTCGTCAACCAAGTAGCCACCTTCGACCGTACCGCAGGGCAGAAATCATCTTGGTCCACCAACAATGATCGCTCGTTGATCGTACCAGTACAGTACATATAAGTTGAGCTTTAGGGCGGGCGATCGAGGTGCACCTGTGAATTCCTGGGTTGTAGGTGCCGTGCTTCGTTTTCAGTTTTCTAGAGCACGCAGTGGGTAAGACTAGCTTTTGAGCTACTAGTAGAATCTTGGGAGAAACTTTCCTGCTGGCTACCCATTGCCCAATGTGTATGCTGGCTGCAACTGGAAATGAGCTGGGTACATGCTAGCAGGTTGTCTTCCCAATAGCAAGTCCACTCGACTTCTTCATTACATGTAACCTGATCCATTATACATTATATATGTGTAGCTTGTTTTGACATAAACGGCCCAGCGTGGTCTCATCTAATATCTAGTCATAGTCTCGAGGGTCTGCTTGTTGCTGCATTGCAAGATCGTATGGTAAACCAACAACAACCCCCTTTTTCCTTCATTGTCGTATCGAGTGCGTGATAACCATCATCGAAAGAACAATGGATGGCATCTTTCACTGCCAATCTCCAGCGTTGGTTTTTGGTCGCAATGGCTCTGCCCTTTTAATGCCCAGGAATGCCATGACATCTACGGCAGATTCATCCGGTAACACTTTGAAGGCGTCGGGAATTTGACACTCTTCTGCGGAATCGCACTCGTCGCCCTCGCATTCGCCCTCCATGTCCAGGAGCCGTTGCTCTTCTATGTCTCTTCGAAAAACAAAGGAACTCATGGCATCGACGCTATCCCCATCAAAGACTCCAAACGACTGTTCCAGACGCTGACGAAACGCTCCGATCTCTTGCGGGTCGTGTTCTCGTTCGGCCGAAGCCTTCAACGCAGTGGATGATACCCCAAAGATGCCTCCTCCAATGGACGCCATTTCAAATCGTTGTCCCCATCCTGCCACCGACACGGCGTGGATTGTTAGCAATAGTAGCGATAGTCTCGTCGTCATGATCATCTGTTGAGTCCAGAAAAAGAAAACTGTGAGTTTGCCATGGCCGATTGCTGCCTATCAGCAGTTGTCGATTGTGCTTCTTCTTGTGCTTCCACCCCTTTTCAGGCTTTCTTCTCCCCCTTTTGCAAAGCTTCCGGAGCCTTTGTGTCTGGGGGACAGGTGGCAAACGGGGCGGGGGAACTCACAGTCCCAGCTGGTTCTTGACACCCCTTGTTCTCCAACCGGCCAAAAACTTTGCCACGTGGATCAGGATAATGTTAGAGTTAATGGAAAGCGCAATAGAGCCAAGATATCATGGTTTCTGATGAGTCAGCCTGTAGCAATGTAGCAATATTTTCAACGGTAGGAACAATAAATCCGCCAAGGATGAGCTGGATCAGAGTGTAATGATTAGAGTAGTCAATCCCCACTTTCAATTTCTACAGTAAAAGTTTATAATACAGGCTGGTTAACTCGTGATAAGACTTTACGTAGAAATTTTAGGGGCTATTCCAGAAAGCTTCTCTGTGACGATGTCTTTTCTGGAGAACACTGGTACCAGATGACGCTTGCAGATCAAGACATGAGCATCTGCCTTAGATCCGCCAAGGAACGCACGCAACACGAACACCTGAAATCTTTGCTCGAAAAAGATACGGCGAGCAGCAGCCCCTTTGACATCCAAACGATGGCACAAATAATTTTGGAGGAGCCATCATAAGCAGCCAACGCGTCTTACCTTATCCCGTTTCTACTTACATTCAGACTTATTCCATCACCATGACTGTTGCAGATTCTTTCAAAGGTGCCCGCCGTCTCTCTGCCCGCAATGATGAAGTTCTTTCCTTTGATGTTGGTGGTGAGTCCACTTCCTGATGGTTTTCTGTTGATTCTCTGTTCCTTGGTGTCGAAGTTCTGACGGGAAGATACCGGTGATAATGCTCTTCACCTTGTCAAGTGTTGACGACAGAGAGGGAGGGAAGAGCTCAGAAATGCAGTGTCAAGAAGTATTGTTCGAGTTAGGGATTGTTTGTATTTGGGTATGCTACCTCTCACACCTCCATTATCTTGCCTTTTTAAACACTACCAGATGACAGCGCCAAGTCGATGGAGTATTGCCAGAATTTGGCCAAAACTTTGAGTAGTGCAAGCCAGCTCCCCAAGGCTTGCGAGAAATACCCCAGCGTGGTTCAGGGATTGGAAAAGAAATCCGCCGATCAAAAATCCCAACTCAACAAGGCTTTCACGGGAATGTCTCCGGGACAAGCCCAGCGTGCCAAGGCCAACCGACTGAAGGGAGTGGAAACTCAGGCTCAGTTCCAGCGACGCATGACTCGCTCTCACAGAATGTCGGGATCCCACCGTGCCTAAACATTTATGTTCATAGATCCATTGGCTGATTTATTTTCATTCTGCGGTTGATCCTGCATCCACACACAATCCATCCATCCTGCCACCACAACAACATCTACTACACAACCAGGGAGTCACCACAACTGTCTTCTTCAGTCTACTACAATAGGCAGGACAAGTCTACTTGTGTGGAATGGAGCAGAAGTCAGGGATTCATATGTGAATGGTTAAATGTAGATCGATGGTTTTATGGAATTTTGTATGTTTTCTTGTCCCCCGAAAGGGGGAGCAACATGTCGTCAATGGCGTCTTCTCAGAGTATTCTATTTGTCGAACGCATCGGCGAGCAAAGATCCGCTGTACTTGCCAATCCAATGCAACATCGCAGTGGTGGCTTCGGGTTCGTCTTCATCTTCGTCGCAAATGCATTGGATTCTCATTCGAGAACATGTATGTCCTTATTGCAGCCTTGGATTTCTTCCGGAACCCACAGATGATGGAGTGGCAGGTGCCTGAGCAAAAACAATTCTCTGATCCCGGCGGCCACGAAGACTTGCGCCGACAGAAAGGAAAACTGCCGTTTGCAGCCAGCATTCAAGAAGCCACAGTTGCTACTAGCTTGTAAATCTGTTATTGACGATTCCAGACCATCGCACTGATCCACCCCGAGGCCCGAATCAGTTTTGATTTGATCACTGGGCAACCAACCCTGAAACGAAAAAGTACAGCATTCCAATGTGCTATGCATTCTCCTGCCCCCGGGGGGAGGGCGCCAAGCATTACGTTTGAACAATCGGCAGATTCTCGATTTGATGCAGAATCGAGCATTGAAATCTTGAGGTTACGCAGCATTGGCTGGAGAACTTGGCAATCCTGACGGGTCTACCCCAGTGCAGATTCGATTCCAATCAACTTGACAGTTGGATCTACATGTACTGTTGCAGCCCCAACAGGATATGTCACAGCTTTTGCCTATATTTGGCCCCTCGCTGGGATGAAAGCCAATGACGGAGGACGTAAGTGAAGCTGTTACCCGACGACAAGGGATGCCCAATCTCGGATGGGGGGATTATGCCTTTGAGATTCCACCATCAAGGGGCAGCGACTTGAGCTTTTCCAATCGGCTGGTTTGTTTTGGACACGGTCAAAGAGACAAAAGGTTCTATAGCCGAGGTATCTTCGCGATCTTGATGTACGAATATGCCAGCGAGCCTCAATGTTGCACGATGTGTTTTTGACTCTACAGCCTCCCATTCTTCAATCCCGTGGAATCTCGTAAAGCGACAACCCAAGTGATGTGACGGCGCAGACCTATGTCAAGCGATGGAATCCGACCCACAAAATTGATGTGGTATTCCGCGAAACAATCAAGTCCTGAAGCAGAACGAGTCACAGACGCGAGAGAACATAGCAAAGAATCAAGAAAACCAATCGAAGCAACAAGGAAAGCGATCACACCACATGCCTCGCAGAATGTTTCGGTGTTTCCGGGGCAACACCAGGAAAAACCACCCATCCCAGCGTCAACTGTGAGTGTGTCTGGTTTATCATTCAGTTCCCTTCTGCTATAGCGATATCTTTGCTTGGGACTACTCCTTTTGTAGATTGCACATGACAGCACATAACAATGATCATGCCAGAATTGTAGGGTTTGCTACTAGTGTACGACACAATTACGCTGTTAGAACATTCTTTCGTGAATGCACAACACCTGTCTTTGCCATTCTATGTATTTCAAAACTGATTGCCTCTCTGGTTAGCTGCTGCTTGGTCGTGATGTGCAACCGCCGCTTCCAGAGGAAACGGGTTCACCGTAACTTGAAACCTATCAGGACTGCCAAATGCTTCAACGGCGGTGTTCAATGTGGAGGAGGGTGTATTCTCAGGAACAGGTGCAAAAAAGAAGAAACCCTTCATCTCGCCCCTTGGATTCACCAATTCGCATCCAGACATGTACTCGAACGCATCACCAGGACGTAGCACTGGGAGCTGGCCGACTATACAACAACATCCATTTTTGAGCAATTAGTCAGAACTCCAAACCGAGAAAACCATGCAGAACAAATAAACTTTGTTCCGTGGGACTTACCTGCACCAGAATTTGGCGCGTCGACAACCATTGGATCCATTTCTTCGTCATCATCAGTGCTTGCTGCTTCGTCGTTGATATCTGTAATGTGCCAATACCTGCCCAACAATTGAACGGTGATCTGATCGGATAGGTTCTCGATACGGATCCGATAGTGGAATCTATTTTTGAGGCCTGGCGACCCTCGCAATCTTCGAGACCCCATGTGACTATTTCCAACGTGCTTGCTGGTCGCCACCACTCGGATATCTTTTTCATAAGATACCGACGACAATCGCCACATTTCCGATTGTTCCATTAAGGTTTTCAAACCTCGAATGGCATACTTGTTGAGCAACTGACGCTCTTGAGCCTCATTGGCGGCGGAAAGTTTGGCATGACGAAACGCGTAGCGAATGGCTTTTTGCACCGAGGAAACGGTCGTCCAAATAGTCGGCTCATCGGTGAATTCCGAATACAATGACGTCGTGGATGTAGTAGAAGAAGATCCTACTTGGGGCTCCACCAACAACAACTGAAACCAATCCAAGGCATCCTCTTCTCCGCCATCTTCATTCCAGTCTCGAAACAAAACCAGCAAATTTCGAACGCCGTCATCGGTAGTGCCCTCGGAGGAAGCAGTCTTGACGGATAGAATTCGGTGACTACCCGACTGCAAAGGGTTCAGAGGAGGTTGGAGCAAGAACATGGTTTCACCCGAAGGATGCTGTGGTAGCGTCTTTCGAAGATCCAAACATTGGCGTTGCAAGATACGGTACAATCGTCTGCTAGCCATGCGACCGACGGATGATGGCGTCGAAGACGACATGTTTCTGGATCCCGGAGCAAATAATGACGACGATAAGCCGTGTCGAGCAAAAGGGATTCTTCTCAAGAGGACGTCCATCTCGAGTTGCTTCTCTCTTCTTCCGTCTCTGTCCAACACAAAATCAGGCAAATTAATCTGCCTCAATGGTTCAAGCTATAAGCTAGCTAGCTAGTCAACAAGAGCTAGGAGCTGTAGTGGGGCAACAGGGCACTCTTTAGATGATGTTGGAGCTTGATGAGAGCTCTACAACCAACAACCAAATGATGAGTGCAGCGAAGATTCTGCCGATGACGTCATTGGATTTCGACGCACACCTGCGTTGGAAGCCAACAGCTTTGGCGGGGACGTCGTGCCGTACGGTACTGTACAGTGCAGTACTATTAATACCAGTACGGTACGGGACCAACCAGTAGTTTGATTGCATGATGGATGCAACTTTGTTCGGAGCTCACCAAACAAGCATGAAGGATGGAAACACATCACAGAATGGCTGGGTGGCTACCACGGGATGCCAACTTGGTACGCTGCTGGTACCGTCATAGAATGTTGAATAATGTTTGCTGCCAGGCTGGGACAAGCCTGCTGCTGACCTGCTGAAGACACCGCACCGCACGGGTGCCTGCCATTCAGCCAACAGTAGTCCCGCCCCATTCACCACAGGCAGCACCACAGTCAGCAGGTATTAGTATTCTCAGTACACAAAAGTGTTATCGGTAGCTTTATTTTAATTGAAAGACTGGCTAGCTAGATTACCGGTAGCTTGTAGGTTTGTAGGGAAGTTTCCTACCTACGGAGAGTTGCAGAAGCAACACCAGAGCTCCCTTGCTCTGTCGAGCATGATTGCCCGAAGCAAGACGCAATTCACAGAGCATTGGTTTTTTGAACAAAAATGCGAAGCAAAGACCACCTAGCTAGCTACTAGGCTAGCTAGCTGGTGAAATGGCCATCTCAAGGCTCAAGTAAACTTCCTTTTCGTTGCTCTTCTACTTGCCATTCCCGCGTTCTTCCTTTGCATCATGTGGCGGCACACGGCACACACTAGCGGTACAGTGGCTAGAAGCACGAAGAGCGACTCGGGCAGGGTACTAGGTACCGGTAGATCTACTTTTGGTTCACCGCTTGCCACACGGTTTCGCCTAACGAGTGAACTGATCTAGCTAGCTTTGTTGCAATTCGTTTCGGTGCAGGAGTACAGCTCTGCAAGAGTTTCTTTTGTAGCTACATGCAATTGGCTGGTGCCACACCCTCCCAGAAGACCAGTGTGGCCAGTGAGCAGACTTGGCTCACCAGTGGTCCTCAAGCACTTCTCATCTGAACCGAATCGAATCCGATATTTTATAATAGACTTTATCAAATGCAAGCAAAATTGAGAGTGCTAAAATACTGTGTTTGGCAGAGGCAAGCTTACATGCCAGGACTTTTCTTTTGTCTGGGTTTTGCTACATTATGTACTGATAGTCTGTTCTAGATTTGAATATACAGATAGTCTTAGCAAAGAGTAGCAAAGTACAGTTAATTCTATGAATTTCTTGATGTATGAAATAGGGCCAATCAGTTTGGAGAGGAGCTACGAAGAGCTGTGATCTGAGAGATCTTGCAGTTCCCCTTGTAGCGCAGTAATGCCGCCAGAGCCTTTTCCTAACATCCGTCGGTTGTTTTGATCGCGCAGAGCTGCCAAGCCAGTCGGACGATCACTTCTTCTCATGGGGCTAAGGCCTCTCTTTGGTCGAGGTGGTGGGGTTTCAAACTCTTCTGGTTTCAGCTCTGCCGAGGGAGTTCGCAGTTCCTCCGATGGGACCACCTCTTCACCGGGAGGAATTCCAGCTAGTAGTCCATTATTTGCTTCGTTGCGGTCCTCGCCATCCTGCGCCACGCGTCTATCGCCGTCCGCCATAGTCTTGGCCATGGTGCGTGCTGTCTGCGTCAGCTTCAAGGACTGTGCCCTCAAAACCTTTAATCGCAATTCTGGATCCTTCTTGCCCTTCTTTTTCTCGCAAGCATTGTACTCCGCTTGTACTTTGACCACTCCTTTGACGGCCTTTACTCGGTTCTTTTGAAAAATGGGATGAATGTACAGTTCCAATCCTCTTGCTTCGCTGTCTACTACAAAGTCTAGATCTGATGCCTTGATCTTGACAGGCTTGCCGTCCTTGGACTTTCCACCCGCGCATCCTTTGAGGACAGTTTTGATTTTGTTCTGCCAGTCCTTGCGCTTTGTGGTAAAGTGCTCAGCGACCAGCATGGCCTCGGTCAACAGTTGATCGAGTTCATCGTCGGTCCACCAGCACTCTTCTTCGCAGTTTGCCGGGAAGTAATATTCATGGACTTGTTCCACAATTTCGTCTTTGGCATCCACCAAGAAGGAAATCTTCGGCTTCTTGTGGACCACCTTCTTTGTGTTGTCGTCGTTGTTAGAGGAAGCCTTTGGGTCCATCTCGGGAGACAGGAGCGCGTCGGATAGCACGGTTTCAGAAGCCGTAGGGACTACAGTCAACTTGCCAAAGGACTGGGCGGTGTCCCCAATGGAACCAAACTTGATCTGCGCACTAAAATCGGGAGTTGGGTTTGTCATCGTCGTCATAAAAGTTGCAGAGAAAAAAGAGAGAACGCTGGTGTTTGCTCATTCGTCGATTGTGAGGAGCCCGTGTGGAGCTGCAAATCGACTGTGATGCTCCAGAGAGCATGCCTGCCTGCCAGATAGATGAGACAGGCTAATCTAATCGCGAAGTTGAACTTGGACAACTCGTACCTAGTAAGTCATCTAGACCCCGAAGAAGGATCAGCCAATAGTGAACTCCCAGCATTTTTAACAACAGTAAACATGTTCTGCCGTTCACAAAATATCCCAGTGGCCTCGTATATAAGATTCTATGGTTTGTCACCAACAAGGCCACGGTACTGTTAGCGGTGCCGGTACCGGTATGATAGCTACAAGCTAGCTAACATGCTGTAGCGGTAAGAACCAAGCAACCAAGCAAGAGCTCTTGCAATTCTACCTTTTACGCATACGGTAGGCATCGGTGTATTACTCGTACGAGAGAATGTTTGTGGGTGGGTCCGGTTGTTTGGGTTGCTTCTATGTACCGGTGCCTGATAACCAGGTACTCTAGCCACCTATTCTTGACATTCATAAGATTATAGAAAATGGAAATTTGTCATGTACCGGTACGGATCTTCAGAGAGTAAATCAGGAGGGAAAGTAGGCGCCATTTTATTGCAAGCCTGAGAGTTTGGGTACCTTTGGCATGCCTATGGGGGTTCAATCCTGTCCTTTCTAAAGAGGCTCTTGTTCACTTCCGTTCGACAAAAGATGTAATGATTCAATATCTTAAACATAGGGTCATAATGTAGACAAAAAGCGAGGATGTGATCTTCGATCAACCAAACGTCTTACCAGCCAGGCCGAAACTGGGATGTTTGGAGTTTGGAAAGTGTGAATGAGGAGCAAGCTAAGTCCAAGTGGGAACACCCGTGACTAACAGTTTCCTAAGCAAAACCCAATGTCAACAAGGCGTGGTACAACATGAGATGTGCATGGTACAACACAGCAACATGGCGGTACTGCTGTTACTCTTGGACTTATCGCGCAGGATTCGAGTGTCCGGCATGTTTCAAGATGCCAAGATGTTTCGGGACAAGGCAGCGTTCCTACTAGTAGCAAGCTCAGGCTTCTCTTCCCAGTCTCGGCCACTGGTACTACCATAGTATCGCTCTTGACGAGTACTCCGAGCACTTAGAAACATATGCACAGTGGTACACGAAAAGGATTAACAATAAGCTCACTTTGTTTATTGAAATTCAGCTGCAGGTGAATGCATGATTTATTTATTGATGTGCGTCTGAAAGATTGTACATATATATGTCTTGCCTTTCATTCTGCAGGCTGCAGGCTATTAATAGTACGGTAGGCCGACTCTCACCGTCTCACTCACTGGTTTCAGTCAAAAAAATAACCTAAAAAATGGTGTGGAGTGTGCTAGTACGGTAGGTGAGTGGTGGGATGAACAAGAGGCAAGAGGGATGGGCAACGGTCCTCGAACTTTTTCACCTTCTCAGCTGCCACAAGGCGACAGGCGATACTCGAAGCTTTGCCCATTGAGGTTTTTGGTACCAGTAATGCATTCACGTACATGACATTGTAGCTGGTCAACGGGGGGGTCGCACCAGCATCACAACATCACAACATCACAACATCACAACATAACAACCCCATACCGGTCTACTGCAGAGCTACTCAGTAGCTAGCTACTCGGAGTAGCTAGTATTGTAGCTATCCCAAGAAAGATCCAAAGATCCAGTTAGGCGATGAGAAGCTTCAACATGGTCGCAATCTCGCTACTAGCTGGCTAGCTACCTGGTAGCTAGTCTTTCTTACCTTTGCTTTTGTGGTTAGAAGCAACAAAAAGCAACCCAGCTACCAAACTACCTGGTAGTACATGTACTCGAGTACTACCGGCAGCTACGGTAGCTACGGCTGTAGCCACTGGAGAAGTAAGAGAACTTGTCAGCGCGGTAATATTTGCTTTTGCCGGTTGCTCTTCTTGACTCAGCCACATTGTCATGATGTGACACAATGTCATGTTGTCATGTTCCATGCATGCGGGGGGGGGGGCACAACAACCTTCTTTGTCACCCAAGAGCCAAGAGGTTGAATTACATGATGTAGAGGATGCAAGCCTTGGCGGCTGCTCCACTTGAAGGATGGTACCACCATCACCTTTGCAAACCGCACAGCTACCAGCTACCAGGCTGAGCTACCCTTTTACGTAGTACTTTGAGCTGGAACCTGGAACTTGTTCGAGCGATCATCTTCTACTAGCCTCTTACCTTATTTGTAGAGTTGTAGAGGACAAAGCTATCTAGAAAGTACAAAGCCAGCCAAATAATAAATCTGTGCGATTCTTGGATCCGTAGGCACGCAAGAAGCAGAATGTTGTGGTTTGGTTCAGATTTCACCCTGAGCTGCATATAAATTAGCTACATTCGCCTCGATGCTTGTAGGATGGCACCAGTACAATAGCTACCGTATCGGTATCACAGGCTACCACCATTGGAAACAGCACAGCTACCGCTTAGTACTATGGGCTGGAAGTCGTTGGACCCATCATCTGTTCGCTAGCTGATTGATTACCGGGGGGTCCAAAGTGATCCCTCGAGAGATCATCAAGTGTGCGAGCAAGAAGAACGGATGAGGTCGGTAGAGAGTCCTAATCACCCCATGACCCCATGAGCTCCTTACATGTATTGCTTATTACGGTACGGTTGTACTCCATTCCTTCCTCATGCGCTGTACTACGTACCGTACTACTGTACACCGTAGCACACTCTGGAAGAACCAACATGATGTACAACCAACTATTACTACCGGTACAGCGTACTACTACAACTACGACCACTACAGTATTATCTGTTACTACAGAGCAACGGATTCGTACTCAAGAAATAGAAAATACAAGACAGATCCTGTCGGACTCGAATCAACGCGGACACCCAATCCTCGCGTGTGGCATTTTGATCCAACAACTTTCGTCCGGCTTTGTTCAACGCGAGATAGAATTGTAGAAACGGTCGGAGAAAGAGGGCTTCGTCTTGACATAGTTTGAGTGTGGTGAGTGTGTAGTTGGATTGCATCATGATGAGAAAGGCTTCTTCCAGCCATTTTCCCAATTCCGTGCTGCCGTGAATTTCAAACGATTGCAAGGTCGTGTTGGATTGAAGTGCGGTGGCCAGTTCGGGCATGGTGCAGGTTTCCTGTGTATTATTGTCGTGTCCCAATTCGTAAACGACCATCGTACATTTTAGGAGACTCGTGTTGGTGCGTAGCATTTGACAAAGGGCATCGACTCCTTGTCTCCCCAATGGCCAACAGGAAATCATGACTTCTTCCAATTGACTTTGAATATTATTTTGTTGTAGTGGTTGTTGTAGTGGTTGTGGATTGTTATTGGACAATGCTCTGGCCATGGCAGATGTGTGTTCATCTGTAAAAAAGTTGTGAATGGCATCACTGGAATCGTAGAGTACCAAATGCTGCAAATCTTGGAGTGTCTCTGATCGACACAAACTTTCCACCGCGGTTCCTTCGAGTCGTCCCCAGGGGCACTTTCCATCGTGCGAGTAGAGCACGACCTTTTCCAATTTGGGAGTTTCGGCCAATGCCCGCAATAGCTGATTGACGGAACCCGCACTGGAACAACCACTGGAAGAAAAGGAAAAGACTTGCAAGGATGCGTGTCGTCGCAATGTCTCCCAGAACACTTCAAATTCGGGTGGTGTCCCCGTCAAATTGACTTGATTGAGTTCCAGAATTTCCAATTTTTCGGTCGACAACGACAAGGCAATAGTCAGTAGTGGAATGGGCAATCGTTCCATCATGCCATAGTGAAATCGCAGTGTCTTGAGATGCGGCAAATCGCCCAATGCCTTGAAGAGTTTGCGGAGTTTCTTATTGCGATGATTCTGTTGAAAGAGTCCCGACAAATCCAATTTGACTTCTTCTAACGACGTACTGGCTCGACCCGTCAACGTCGCCTTGAGTTGTGCCACATCGGCGTCGTGGACGGCCGTCAATTCCAACAAACACGAGTGCGGGGCAAAATCTTTGCGGCGAAGCAGTGCCGTTGTTGTCACCATGCTGATTGTTGTGGATAATAGATAGCTAATGAATATAGCGATATTAAAGGGGTAGATGCAGAAGCAAACCAGATAGCTAGCTAGTACTGCTATCGGCAGTCGGTGGTGTTGTTGTTGTTGTTGTTGAAAAAGGATCTGGCTGGAAAAGAACAACAGGATCTTCTTTCCTCGTTCGGCACCGTGGTGGTTGTTCTTTCTGTGGCAGCCCAGTCATTAACAGGACTGAAAATCTTTTAGAACTTTCTGCAGCGTTCTCGAGTGTATCTTTCCTCAAATCTACATGTACTAGTACTTCGTACCATGTCATGTGCATCGGCTTCTCAAGAGCGGATCCCTCCCCCATCCCACACTCGAGATCTATCCGGTAACTGAGCTGCGTGAAGCCGCAAGAGAAGATAAAGCGCTTTTCCTTCATAACTCTTGGGCATCAGGTTGATATTCTCACAATTTTAATTACAAAGCAACCCATGCCAAAGGAATATTCTACTTTTGTGTGATCTACCGGTAGCATGGTGTTTGACAAGGCCAAGAAAGCCGTGGAGGCGAAAGAAGCCGAAATCAAGGGACAGAAATGGTTGTCCGAAGTCAAACAGCAAGATGGACAGTGGAAAGATTTGCAGGATTGGAAGGATACCTACGAACCTCAAAAGGAAAAGAAGGAAAAGACCGAAGCGCAAAAGAAAATGGCAGCCAAGGCCGTCGATGCCGCTTTTGACAAAATGCAAGAAGGATTGTCCAAGGCCATTTTCCAAATCATGATGGAAGCGGCATCCACGTTGCTGGGGACCACCAACAAACTTATTGTAGCATCTGGGAAAGATGCCAAGCAGCTGCCCACGATTTTGACATCCACCAATGCCATTATTCTATCCTATCGATTCGAAACACCCAAGAAAATCAACAAGTTTGGTTACATTCGGAAAACGGCTTGTTTGGACTTGACCAAGACATTGCACTTCTTGTTGCCCGAACGGGGTGCCGCCCAAGTGTCGGAAGACATTCGAACCGTTCTGGCACAACACAAAGAGGCCACTCGTGCCGACGTGCTCCAAAAAGTCAACTCGCTTCTCGGGAATGTCAGTGATGCCATGGACGAAAAAGGACAGGCCGTTGAACGGGCCGTAAAGAGTGCTTCCAATACCATTGGAGCCGACAAGGTGACTGCTGCCACCACCAAAGTCAGTGAAGCGACCGGCATGACACCCGAAAGTCTCAAGGCACAAAAAAATGACATTGTCGCACAGTTTGGATCCCTCTTTCAGGGTATTCTGGTCAGTCACATGGAACAGATTGATGCCTTGCTGCACGATGTCATCGACAAGGTTATTGCCGCCATGGAAATTGCCATTCAAATGAATAACAAACTGGCCAGTGCCAAGGCCAAAACGCCTGAAGAGCTGCAAGACGTCATGGTGGAAATCATTGACAAACAATACAAGTTGGCACAGAAACGACTCAATGGCGAGATTCAAAAGGTCATCAACATGATCAAGGCATTGGTGCAGAATGCCATGATTGACATGGATGCAGAGTAGTCAACAACAACTACGTCATTGTACCCCTACGGTAATAAAGATTGTTTTATTGCGCTTCCCTTTCAGTTGCTTGGGCCCACAATACAAGTGTTTTGGGTACTCAGAGCCTTCTGTAGCCACAACTGTTGTGGATCTACCAAATCAAGTGCATAGACTTTGACAGTCAGCCTGGTCCCTTCACTCATATTTACCTCGGCAGGTTAACTGCCTGAGTCCTCTACCCCTTTATTGGCAAATATTCTGTCTGTGGGATCCCCCTGGTTTTTGTCTGTGGGATCCCCTCGTTTTGTGTCTGTGGGATCCCCATTCCGGTGAAGCCAGGATAAGGATAGAGATAATGTAAGCTGGCAAAACTGGAAATTGAAGGTTCAATAAAAGTTAGGGGTAGGAATATATCAATGTAATTTAAGGTTAGTGCACTCAGGACAAAAACACAATAAGCCAGCAGGTGTTGTAAATTTAGAGTTACACAATCGAATGATAGCTGTAATTATGGGTTAGCCCGTGGCTACGCCAATGCTATCTTAAATAAAAAGGTTACAATGAGGGAATGATACCGGGCGGCAACACACGACTCGTCGTGTGTTGCCGCCCGGGCTAGCTAGCTTGAAAGAAGAGTGCAATCTCAAACATGTCATCCTTCTTCTATTTGTCTTTCTGCCGAGGTATCGCAGCTCCCGCTGACTTATACGTTGCGCGGAGGTGCCAATATAAGCTGAACTCTCATGTTTAGCCAGTTTAACTGACTTATATACCGGTATTGATGTTTTAACTCCCGCTCAAGATCGGAATAGACTGAGACTCGACTCGACTCGTACGTGTTCCTGATTGCGGGGCGAATTCTTGCCAATTTCTTTCCTCGTCCATGTCATTGTGATGAGCGAGCTTGTGATGCTACCTCGTCATCGCTTCATCTACAGAACAACGCTTTGTTTCACACAGGCGTACTCCTCTCCATTATCATTATTGTGTCGCTCCAAGCTCTCTAGCTAGCATCATCATTGTACATGTGCATCATTTTTGGCGTTCAGGTACCCTAGTCTGCAGAGACGACAATATCTGTCGATAGAGACAAGCAAAAAGTTGTGCAATGACTGGCAGCAACACCACTTCTACCGCATCCGTCACTTCAGAGAACGAGGAAGTAACCACTTTTCCCGTCTTTGAACTATCATTGGATGCCAGCTCGGACATTGCTGGTCTGGCCATTGCCGTTTCTTCCTTGAGTGATGCCGTGGAAGAGGTGAGGGTAGACATATATAACAGTTTCACAATTCGATGGAACGAAGAAGGTGTGCCAGAGCTCTTTGAAGCATTGGGCAGAGTCCCTCAGTTGCGAAAGGTAGAATTCTATGGTTTGAGGATTTTCCCCTACCGAATGCCAATTGTCATGGCTGAGCGAACGCTGGCTACTGCCACTCGTTTGGAAGAATTCTCCCTTGTGGGTATTAACCTATGTGAAGAGGAAGCAGATCCCAATGGCAATGTATTTTCTCGGTTTTCTGAAACCCTCCGGCACCATCCCACGCTCAAGACATTTGCATTGGATAACTGTCGGTTGAGAGATGAAGAGACTGGCCCTACCCTGGATGAAGCCATTGTCGAACCTCTGGTGCAGATTCCATCACTGGAAAAAGTGGTTATTCGAGCCATGGAAGTTTCCATGTGGGGGGAGCTCAGCTGTGCTTCAGTTGCCAACCTGTGCAAGTCCAAAACCACTCAAGAGCCTGGAACTCTTTGTCTTTTCCAAGTGTGGAAGTGCCTTTCTCTTTGAAATGGCAAAAGCTCTCATTCAAGCCAACAACCAATCACAGCTGGAAGACTTATCCATATCAGGCTGTTTGGGTGGCATGAAGGGCGCCAAAACGATTTCGGAAATGATTCGAGTCAACACAAGCCTCAAATCTTTGGAACTGCACCTTCGCAGTCGAACCGAAGATGACGATGAAGAGGGTATCCGAGAGTTGTCCAAGGCGTTGGGACGCAACAAAACTCTTGCCAAGTTCCAGCTGCATGGAGCCACCAACCGTACAGGGAGCCTGGAAACGCGCAATATCTTTTTGCAAATGTTGGAGAGCAACTACGCGCTCAAGTCTGGAGTTCAAGTCTTTCACCCGGGATTTTTGCGACCAGAGAATGAACTCTATTTGCGTCTGAACCAAGTAGGGAGAGGACGGTTACTACTAAATGGTCTGGCAAAGAGAGAATGGGTCGACACCCTGATAAAGGTTCGACAAGACCTGGATTGTCTCTTCTACTTTCTCAGTACCAATCCTTCCCTTTGCAATACTGTGGGTGATGCTTTTGTCGAAGAGATATCCACTCCAAAGACACCAATGGAAGGCGTCATTCCAAGTGAAACGACAAACGGCACCACAGTTGCCACCACCTCTACAATCCAAGTTAGTGGTTGCAAAGAACCAGCGTTGGACTGTGTGAATCGGAAACGCAAGCGAAGCATCAGCTGACCTACTAGAACATGTCAGCTGGTGGACAGGGCCTTTTCTACTGCGGCCAAGTTTGAACAGAACTCACCGTACATGTATCCTACTTCTCCAAAAGTTGGAGTTTGTTAAAGTTGCAACTCTCGACGTGTGTTTGTGAAAACTAATGTATATAATCAGACCAATTGAATGATGAAAGTGGTCTTCGTAGCTAGTGCTACCGATTTGCTTCTTGGTCAATCAAGTGTGTCGAGTTTAAATTCAGACGAGCCCATGGAAGTGGTTGGTGGCTCTTCAAACCTGAGCCAAACAGATCAAAGGAGTAGTATTGTAGGTATGCGGAAGCATCAGAGGGCGACTTAGTCTGTGAGTGGACCTCGAGGATGTGATAAGCAACCAGCTCGAGAGAAAGAAGTGGCAGTATGGCCTGCTTAATCTACCGGTAGCTAATCGTCCCTCCTAATAAGTGCAACACTGCGAGGACGAGAAATCTCGGAAGCGCATATCTACAGACACAACTTGACAAGCAAAATAGATCAATCAACCTTCATTAGTAGTCATTCAAACTACACTGTTCACTCCCCACAAACACCAGCTGTCCAGGAACGAATGGTAAAGCAGCAAGACAAGTCAGAATAAATCCCAAAGAGCCCTGTCAAAAAGGGCGTGTAGGGAATCAACAAGCTTCGCAAAACCATTTGCACTCCATGTCATCGTTGTCACCATTCATTCAACCAAAACGAGACGGAGGCATTCCAATAGGCAAACTCTGCTGCTGCTGTTGTTGTTGCGTAGCCGGTGGAGCATTCATGACTTGATTCAATTGGACCACATCCATTTCCAACTTTCGAGAGTAGGATTCTAGTTCGGCCAATTGATTCTGATGCATGTTGAGCACATGAACGATACGTCCCACTTCGCCAGCTTTGCTCAAGACAGATTCCTGCGCCAAATCCATTTGTTGGAGGGTTTGACGCAAATTGTCTTGCAACACACTGAGGGAAACATCCATTTCAGACGCCGTCTCATAGGCCTGTTCTCGTTGGATATCGGCATCCTTTGGTGTTAGATGGGCTTGAGCCTGGAAGAGTTGATCTACGTGCTGTTCAATCGCTTCCATGGAATTATCCAATTCCTCCTGAAAGGCACCAATGCCCTGAAATGTACGTTCCAATTCTTCTTGTTTGTGCAGTAGCCGTTGCGATTGGGTAGTAATCGATGCCAAATCACGCTGACTATCACGCAACATGGCATCATACTGACTGACACGCTGGGCTTCTTGACAGTAAAGAATGGCATCCTGTTCGAGTTCTTGCTGAAATTTGTTGAGGATTTGTTCGACCGTCAAGGTTTGGTAATCCAATCGGGCCGGTTCCTTGGAGACGGCAGGTGCCGTAGGAGGAGCAGGAGCTACGGCCAGGGCTGTAGTGGCTCCGGGTTGTGTCGGAGCAATGGTCGCACCAGGAGTTGTCGTGGGAGCCACTCCAGGAGCAGTCGGTGGTTTGGGCGTGACTACCGGGGCCGGGGTAGCAGGTGTGGGTGGGACGGGAGTCTTTCCGGTGTCCCCTCCAAAGTTGAATCCACCCGCGGCAGGGGCAGCCGGCGTCTTGCTGACATCCTCTTTGCCGGGTGCTGGGGTTGCACCACCAAATGAAAATCCACCAGGCAAACCAGCGGCGGCTCCTGCTGCTGGGGCTGCTGGTGTGGTAGCGGCTGCTGCCGCCGCACCACCAAATGAAAATCCTCCTGCGGCTGGATTGCCGGCATCTTCCTTGGCCGCCGGCGTTGGAGCTGCTCCTCCGAAACCAAATCCACCAGCGGCTGGGGCGGCTGGAGCTGTGGCATCAGCAGCAGGGGCTGCTCCTCCAAAATTGAAGCTGGCGGTTGGAGCAGCAGCAGCGGGTGGATTATTGGCACCTTCCGTGGCTGCAGGCGCTGGAGCTGCCCCTCCGAAGCCAAAAGCGCCAGCAGCTGGGGTTTTGGGATCGGCAGCTGGAGCTGCTCCTCCAAAATTGAAACTGGCAGGAGTCGCGGCGGCTGGTTTATTGGCATCGTCTGCCTTGGGTGGTGGAGCTGGAGTAGCTCCACCAAAATTGTAACTGGCAGGAGCAGCGGCCGCTGGTGGTTGGCTGTTGTCGGGAGCAGGAGTTCCTCCAAAATTGAAACTGGCAGGCCCGGCAGCATCGGCGCCACCTAGATTAAAGGAAGGAGGTTTGGAGTCGCCTCCACCAGCACCTCCTCCAAAACCAAAGGCAGGAGCTCTTTTGGGAGTTTTTTCATCGGCTGCTGGCGTAGCAGCACCACCACCAAAACTAAAGCCACCCGAAGCCTTGTCACCACCGGCACTGGGGGCACCAAAACTAAAACCACCACTCGGAGCACCACCAAATCCCGTCGATGCCCCCGCAGCCGGTGCTGGAGTCGACGCTCCAAACGAAAAGCCTCCTCCCGCCGGAGCAGGGGCTGGAGTACCGCCACCGCCACCACCACCAAAATTAAATGCCATGGTCACTCAAACTTGTTTGTGATCTTGGCTCAAAATAATAAACAAACAGCTGCTTGCTCGATATGTTTTTACTCTCTTGAAGTGGACTCTCAGTACACCCGTAGAAGCTGATGGAAGGTACAGCGAGCAGAGGATCTACCAACAAAGCAACAAAGCAACAGTCCAGACGACAGACAACGATCGAGGGTTTCGGGTGGAAGCGAAATCTTTTGTGTGGAGCTGGCTGCTGCATGCTGTCGGCCAGTGGCTGCAACGCAATAATAATGCTATTTCAATATTGTTGTTTAGAGTTTCTGCACTAGCTAGGTAGGTAAGTACCGGTACACCTCAATCTTTGTTTCGCTTTCACATTCATTTTGTGGAACTGATGATTGATGATGCCCAATGGGGGAGATGGGAGTGAGCTACCGGTATAGGGTCTGTCAGACAGGGGTTTGGAGAGAGCTTCGAAGCTGGCAACATAGTAGGGGCATACAAGGGATGATGCATGCAAATTGGCAGAGATCTAGATTGGTATACGGCAATGCTAGCACCACGACGGGACGGGGTACGGTGAGACGAGGGGGGCATAGCTAATGATGAGTTGGCTGATTCTGTAGTACTGTACTTGAGATATTCTAGAACGTCCATTGACCTAAACCGGATGAACCAGAAGGAGAGGATGAGGCAGTAATCAACTCAAACCAAGCGCAATAGCCAGCTAGCCAGTGCAAGCAATGCTAGCTACTGGAGTAGTATTTTGGGCCAGATTGCATCTACAGGCGTACTGCATGATCCGATTGGGCTCGCCCCTGTCTGTGGTACCGGTAGTTTCCTTTCATGTAAATATTGTTTCCTTTCATGTTTACAGTCAACATTCAGATATATATACTGGGGGGGATTCAGGAATTCAGTAAATATAACAGCGAGAATAAATATTGATTTTATCCCTAACCCTAACTATTCCCGTAGAATTGTACGTGCTCTAGTACTAAAATAGGGTTAGAGTTAAAAATGTGGGAACTGGAGTATTCTTAAATATTATAGAGCGAATAAATACAAGATTATAAATATAAGCGAGCGTTGACTGTACCACAGCATGAGTTCCAAACTAACTGCGTGGCACAAGAGAGCCCAATCGTTGCGCGCCAGCGCCACGACGAAAAAGACGCTCAATGGCCTCACACTGCGTAACGGCAACCCAAGACGAAAAACGATGACCACGCGTAATAGAGGTCTCAAACATACAAAAGACTGTTTCTGGACTTGTCCCATCATTGTTGCCGGCAAAGCCCATTCACTCACCTTCTTCCTGCATAAACATCATCATCTCTACTGTACTAGTATTACTAGCTAAGCTGGCCACTTGGGATCTGTTTGAGAACGGGAAAGTAAATCGAGGCAAGAACCAAGTTTTTTGTCGGCAGGCTTTTTCACCTCCTCGGAAGCAAGGCAAGAACTCGACTATTTATTTGGGAGGATCAATACATCATGAGAGGACCATCATCGGAAGATCTCGTCATGAATGCTGGCACCCAGCATCCTGGCCGATTACAACTCCACGACAGTCACAACAGCAAGAGAAAGAGACGAAGAAGGACGACGAGTCGATGGGTTTTCTCGTTTCCTTCCGTCGTCCTTTGGGTCACTCTGCTCTCGTCTGGTTGGAGAGGGCCAAGCCTTGCTGTCGTGGGACCCGTAGTAAATGCTCAGGAAGAATCAATGACCACAACAACAAGTACTCTAGACGAGGAGCGCTCGGATGTGGACATGGAAACAGACGAAATAATGAATGCCTTTCTAAAGACATTGCGTCTTTCTTCCTATCTGGACCTGATTGTCCAGGCCACACACGAAAAGAAACCCGTGAATTCCAACAGAGGAGGACCTCCCGTCATGATTGGAAGAAGACGAAGTCTCATGGAACACAGTCTTCATCATCATTATTCCGTCCAGTACTTGCAACAACTCAAAAAGAGACGGACCAGTACTACTACTATTTCCTCCACATCATCATCAAGTAGTAGCAGTGAAGACAGCAGTAGTAGCAGCTCTAGCAGCGAAGACAGTAGGAGCAGTGACGAAGAGCAAAAGCAGCAGCAACAAGCACAGAACCAAAAAAGAGAGGCCGAGTTGCGCGAAGTACTCAACGCCTTTTTGTACTTGACGCCACTGGAAGCCCATGTCAAGGCCAATCCACAGCGACAACAACACAACTCGGCCACATCCAACATGGTGGGAATGCCACCCTTTCCGCCCAGTGCTAGTCGCGCCAATGCACAGCTCTTGAAAGACATGTTCTACCGGTCCTACAATGCTTACATGGAACATTCCTTTCCCGCTGCCGAACTCCTGCCACTCACCTGTCAGCCAGGGACGTTTGATCTGGTGCGACTTCCAGCATTGACTTTGATTGATGCCCTTGATACACTGATAGTACTAGGGGACAGTCTAGAGTTTGCCAAGAGCGTCGAACGATTACGAGCATTTCATCGAGAGCACTTAAAAAGCGACGGATCGGGAGGCATTTTTGCCGTCAATCAAAATGTCAGCCTCTTTGAGACGACCATTCGAGTTTTGGGAGGGCTGTTATCCGCTCATCAAATGGCAGTAGCCTATCTCAGAAATCAACAACAACCAGACAGGGGCGCTCAACAACAACAACACGTATTGCCGCCCGTTTTCTTGAAGGATGTCTTTGATTCCACTTCTGCCGATGTGTACTTGCAGCCACCAGAGCATGTGCAACGGATACTGGAGCAACACGCCCAAAAGTACCTCACCGACACAAAGGGAACTTGTACAGTGGCTAATCCAGCTGCCAAAGCTGGTAACGACAACAATCCAGAAGACCTTGAGATTCATCACGCCGACAATAACCATCACTCCGAGGTTGTAGTAGATGTTAACAGCAATCATGAAGATTGGAGAGAGCATTGTGGTGCTGGCGTGCTGGCACTGGAAGATTGTGCCGCATCCAAAGCTCCCAAAAACAATGCGAAACAGCAGCAGCAACAAGCGGTCAATCAAACCGTGGCACGCCTGCAAAAGGAACGCCTACTGCGTGAACCACAGTGGGAATACGATGGTTTCTTGTTGGATCTGGCGCTGGATATCGGTGAACGCTTGTTACCTGCATTTGATACGCGAACGGGAATCCCATACGGAACCGTGAATCTGCTCAGTGGCGTGCCCTCGGGAGAAACCACCGTGGCGTCCTTGGCCGGAGGTGGAACCTTGTCACTCGAAATGGAATTGCTGTCGCGGCTCACGGGCGACCTTCGATTTGGGCGAGCTGCCAAATTGGCCATTCGGGCACTGTGGGTGAGACGTTCCAACTTGAATTTGCTGGGGAAGCACATTGATATTCAACGGGGGACATGGACCGAAAACTTGTCGGGGATCGGATCCAACTCGGATTCTTTCTTAGAATACCTTTTGAAACACTATCTGCTGTTCCCCGAGGAAGAGGACTTTTGGACAATGCTGCAAGCAGCCTATACTGGAATATTCAAGGACGCTCGACTTGGAGAATGGTATGCTGACGTGGACATGAAAACGGGAAAACAGGCATGGCCCAAGGGCATGATCAAGCGAGTGCTAGAATCGCTCATGGCGTTTTACCCGGGGATGCAGACGCTCCTGGGCGAGCACGTTCCGGCGGCTCGAAGTCTCAACTCCTTTTTCATGGTGCGAGAATTCCTCGGGTTTCTGCCTGAAAGATTCTCCTATAGCAACTGGAAAGTTGACGGTGGTATCAGCTCTGGTGCCGCCAAATATCCGCTGCGACCAGAATTGTTGGAAAGTTGCTATTTTATGCACAGGGTAACCAAAAAGGACGGTGCCTCGTCAGAGGCCTCATCTAGCTGGCAGTGGGCTGCAGACTTTGCTCTGCACCATCTTGAGCGTCTGACCCGGGCAAAATGCGGGTATGCTTCGGTGCGAGGGTTGAATCCTTCAACCGGGAGTTTGCACAATTATCAACACTCCGAGCATGTCAAGCTGTTCAATGAAATGCCTAGTTTCTTCCTGAGTGAAACCATCAAATATCTCTATTTGACTTTTGATGACGACAACATAATTCACAAGGACAAGGATCGAGAATGGATTTTCACGACAGAAGCTCACCCCATACACCACGTTCCAACATTTGAACAGCAGCAAGAATCCACACAAAAGGACGAGGAAGAGGACGAATCAGTTCACCTGGCACAGGTCAAGGATCGACTTCGGAAGAAGCTGAAGGTTTTGAAGTATCACAAAGCGCATAGAACATTTTCGTCGTCGAGGAGCAAGCCTCCTACTGATAACCTTGTTTCGGCTTACTATCTCGCAGAGGAACTGTGGGCAGACAACACACAACCTCGCAAGTATCGGGGCAGCATTAAGGAGGTTATCGACGAGATCTATACGTCAGAAGAACAGAACACCTATGATCCTGAATGGCACCCAGTCAAATCTTTCTTCGGCGAAGAGGTGACGATGGTGGACCCGATGCAACAACAGAACAAGGAACATCTCTACGAAGAAGACAACAATCTAGCTCACATGACGTGGAGCAGCGTAGGGGTGGGAAGTGGCTATGGATTGAGGAAAGCATGCCCCAATACATACGCACCAGAACTGACCTGGTTGCATGCTCTCAATGGTGGAGCACTTGACTATACCGACATTTACGTCACCTCAATGTCAGAATCGGATGGTGATTATCCGTTTGCTGAGACGGTACACCTTCTGGTGACATCAGCCGAAGCTCTCAGCGTACATGGAAGTGGTGTCTATCTTGGAATGATGGACTCGTCAGTGCAAGCGAGCGAGCAGTGCCCGATTGTTCCTCAAGCTAACAACGCGCACACACGAGCTACAGACTCGACATCGACGGAGTCGTCGCCAGAGCAACTTCTTGGTGAAACCTCGAATGATGTAGGAGATGGAGATGTACCAGAGGCAGCCATACAACACGTGGAACTGGCAGGACTTGGTACTTTCGAAATCAAGGCATTCCCTGAAGGCAGCGGCTTCATTATGAAACATATGGATAGTGGAGAATCCATCATGGCAACTTTCATTGCGGATGCTTTCGATGGAATCTCTGCTCAAGATGTTACGCTCATGGTATATGCGTCCATGCCGCGAACGAAGATGCTGGTGACCTCGAACGAAACCGACGATATCCAGGAATCGTCCGATGATAGCGACGACGTTGGCTACACCAAAGATGCAAAGGACGACGAAACCCCGGTACCGACTTGGAGGCGTGTAGGCCCTCGACTAGCTTCGTTGTTTAAAAAGAAGAACCCCAACACGGACGAAGTACCGCATATGGAACCTGGTGAACCTGAGCGGGCTGTTGTGATCGCGGATCTTCACAACCATGCATTCCACTGCGACGTGAATATCATTCGGCGACCACTTTCAATGAAACAAGACTCAGACTACAGCACAACAGAGACCGAGGACAATGATGATGCCAGAACCTCTACCAACGCAGACGAGCTGGTCGCAACTGTTCCTTGCGCGCCTGCTTTGTTTGGGCCAACCTTAGTTTCCAAGTTAGTTGAGAGCAATGGAGCTTTGATCGAGCGACCAATCTTTCCTCCCAACGAGGCTGATGAGTTTGGTTGCGGTACTCAGGATGGCGAGGAAATCCCGACTGTAACTCCCGTGAGAGAAAAGGAACCCAGGAGCAACGAAGATAATTTTTCCGAGGTTGAAGCACACGACGACAATGCTGCCGATGACCAAAGTGGTTCCTGTGAGAACAAGACGATTCAGCTTGTTCAACGTGGTGAGTGCAGCTTCTACGCCAAAGCTGCCAACCAGAAGAAGCATGTCAACGCGGAAGGGGTAATTGTCATCAACAATGATGACTTGGAACTCTTTATCATGTCCAATGGCGGAGACGAAGATGTGGGCGTAAGCGAGGAGGAGATTCCGGTATCAGTCCTCGTAACGGGGATGGATGGGGAAACCTTGCTTGGTGTGATCCAATCCGAAAGCCTTGCCTCCAACGATGAAACATATATGCTAGCACAAATCTCAATCTACAAACAAGACCCGGTTGTTGACGACACAGGAAACCTCAAGCAAGACTCAGAAGATATTGCTTGGCCCATTGTTCGCGGTTCTGGCGAAGCTCTGCAAATTCTCGCAGAGGGGGGCTGGGGAATTCATGCCATGCGGAAAGACGGAGGAAGTATAAAATCCATACAAGGAAGCAACGACCTACAAATATTTCTCCTCAAACACTCTGATTGAGGCCGACCCATGGTTTGCAGAAGGAACACTGCCAACCGCACACATTTGCACTCTTGCTAAAAAACACCGTAATGTAAACTAGGACCTTTTGCATCTCTCATCCAAAACTTCTCTAGTGGCAGATGAAAAACGGGCTCGAAGATTGTAAGAGTACCGTAGACGAAACTTGGGCAAGAACGGCTCATCCGTCAAGTGTTAAGTCGCGGTACTACCAGTAACTGTCTCCGGCGTCCCACCAAGGTGAGCCGCATGAGGGAGGGATCCTTTGTGATCAGCTCTTTGGTGTGGGCATCTAAGTCACATGCTAGCTATGTTTAGGTTGATGACCAGCAACTTTATGTCCATCGCTTGCAGGCCCATCTTGGTATTCACGGCAACGCGGCAACGCCAATCAATGCAAAATTATTTGTCCTAAAAGTAAAATTTATGGATACAGGTCAAAACTTGAAAAAACACGAAACTCGGATAGAATCAGCTGGCCCAGCAGCTATCTCATATCCGGGGCAGCACACAGCCGCACACTCTCTCTAGGCCGAGACTTCATTCACTTCAGCATCGCTGATATCACGCTTGATAGCTTCAACATCATCCGTTGCGACTTCAGACGCTTCGTCCTCCACAACCTGTCCTGCCTTGTTTGTCTCATCAGAAACGATAGCATCTTCGTCATCGCCGTGTCCCATGTTCACTCCAGCATCTGCGGGGAGGATGGCATTCAAAAACATGGCAGCAACGGTGCCAACGCAGTATCCGGTGGAAAGGAAGATGGAAACTCCATTGCGCAAGCCTTTCAGTGTCTCAGAGCAGTCAGCGCATTGCCAGAAGTTTGCAGTGTAACTACTTCCTCTCATATCCAAGAAGGCAAAAGGCCAAACAGTGACACCGACACCAATGGCTAGACTCAAAGCCATGATGAACTTGACTCGGCGGCTGTGAAGGTCCAAAGTGGAAGCCAAAGCAATACCAGAGGCCAAGACGTTGGCGAAAAGGAAGATTGTCATACCTCCAAGCACAGCGTCCGGAATGCTCGTAATGATTCCGGCAATCTTGCTGAACACTCCCATGAAGACGAGCCACATTCCACAAGCCAATCCAGCCCTCCTGGAAGCGCACTTGGTCAATGCAATGACTCCATTGTTTTGGCTGAAGGTTGTGTTGGGTAGGGTTGTGAAGAGAGAGGCCAAGATGGAACCGATGGCATCAGCGGTCAGTCCTCCTTGAATGGATTCTTGGTATTCTTCGCCTTCGGTGTCGAGCTCACTGACTTCATAGACGGCTGTGAGATCCCCAATGGTTTCAACAGTTGTCACCAAGTAAGCAATCAAGAGTGGGATGACGGCAGGTCCGTAGAATCCAATGGGGAAGGTTTCCACCCAGAGGAAAGTGATGGGGTTGGCGTTTTTGATGGCATCACTGTCCACGTAGCTGTATCCATCATGGCTGGACACTCCAGCAACAAAGTATCCGAAGAGAAGTGCGAGGAAGACGTTGCAATTCCTGATACAACCAGAGTTGGAAAAGCATACTGTTAGCACTCACGAAGCCCAACAGCAAATACATTCATTCTGTTCCAGACTGTTTCTACTCACTTCATGAAAGTGCTTCCAAAGATCTCAATAAAGACAAGTCCAACCATGACCGAGAAACCCAAGCCAATATATTCGGGGCTTCCGTAACCAAGCTCGACCTCACCATTTGCACACGTTGGAAAAGGAGGAGGGAAGCTGAGTGGAGGGTCATAGTTGGTAATGTGGGCGTGCTCTTTCCAGCCCATCTCAGCGCAGACTATTGTTGTAAAGAAGTGATGAAAGCCAGAGCAAGATTTGGGGTTGAGCAAAGTTAGTTGGCGGGTTGCAAACGGTTGTATGCGAGGTGCTTTTCAGAACGTACCAACACCACCTCCCCAATACTTCATACCAGTTCCAATCAAGGCAACACCAATAAGGATGACAGTAATGGCACTGTGGGTAGCAAGACATACAGATGACACACAGCATAAGTTAGTTGATGCAAGTTGTCACGGCATGTCACCAAGCAAGTGTGCGAAATTGTAGTACTCACGTGACAATTGGGGGGAAGATGCGCTTGATGTATCGGACAGGAACGACCGAGAAGAACAGTTCGAGGAGACAGCAGAGCATGGTGGTTCCCAACATCTTTCCATAGGCATCGCGTCCATCAATTCCATCATCCTTCATTTGTTGGATAGCAATCTCGTAAATGGGCAAAAAGGTGAATGAGGTACCCATGACAGAGAGCACACCACTACCCAAAAACATCTGGCGACCAAAGATCTGCTGGGTGAAGGGGATGGGAAGTTTCATAATATTGATGAAGGAGCAGATACCGGATGTGATGAGGGCAGCAGCGATGGCATACTGCTGGAGGTCCTGATCCATAAAGTCCACAGAAAACTTGAAGACCACAAGGGGAGGAGTGACAAGCCCTCCCACCATGGCAAAGGCGTGCTGCAACCCCATAACAAGAGCCAGGAGAATTGGAATTTTTTCATCTGTGTCAAGATAGATGAAGGATACAAGAGGGGACGTTCGTGAGAATACATCAGGCCAGTGCACAAGATCTTTCCAGCAGATTGCTGAAAGGAAGCTCACCCTTGGCATAAAAGTTCAACTTCTTCTTCGGCGCCGTGGACCATGGGTTGTTGGGCATGCACATGGATGAGTAATCATAGCGTTCAGGGTCGCCAACGAGATTTTCCTTGAGGCCCATGTTGTCGATCTTTCTTTGTTAAAAAAGTAGTATTGTTAATAAAAACCTGCTTTGGCTTTTGGCTGTTGCTTTTTGGGAGCCAGAATTAGAAATTTATGAGATCTCTTGCTTCCGAAGATCCCCTGCTCAGTATTGATTTATTGGGCACTGACACGATCATCCCGCCTTCTTTTTCAAGGTATCTGGTATCTTCTGGTACTGACTGTATTGATCTGTACGACGCACCTTTAGATGAGATGGAGCTGGTTGTAAGAATCGGTATTCGATGTTTCAGTGAGTGCAAGGGCAACTACAAGTGATGCCATTATCGTGGGAAGTGGGAAGCAACGGCGAAAGAGCTAGGATATTTCGCAGAGGCGAAAATTGACTGACAACATGGGATGTGTCACTCTTTAGCTTGAAGTGTGACAGAAGGAACGAAGGAACTCGGCCTCCTTACTAATTCTTTCGTAGCCCAACGGAAAGACATATGGCCAAAGATCGATCAAGATCCATCGGATCAGCCCCACTTCTTTGCAAAAGAACGGAAGTGGGGTGAAGTCTGTTCAGGAGGTTCGTGGAACATGTTTCAATGGATCACAAATTAAAAGTGCACAAAGTGTCAAAGCACCGTAAAGCATGCTCTCAGCAACAATGTTATGTGGGTTGTGGAACAAACATTTCAACCTTTGTTTGTTTGTTTGTTTGCTGCTTTTGAAGTTGTTTGTCTGGCTGGCAATTCTACGGCACTCTAGAGTAGTACAGCGTAGTATGGTGGTACGAGTACAACTGTACAGTGTACTAGTAATCTGCCGCACCGTGAGCGAGCTGTCAGAGGAAGCTAGCCATGGTGCCGTGGTTGATTGAATGTGTGCAGAACCACCGCCAACGCCATTTTGCTTTGGCGTTGTTGGCTGTGTGGTTGATGCAACGCTGAGCCTGAGCGTTATTAGCGTTGTTGGAGTGTTGCCCGGTATTTATAGAATGTCAATGTTGCATTGTGATAGCTTCATTGGATTGCTCACTGAAGCATTAGTCTAGTAAGCGCAACTCCACCCAACATCTAATTTCACCATGGCTATTGATGAACTAACTCCTTGTGCATTGTGTACTCAGATGAACAACACACAGATGTTGAGACTTGCACTCAAACAACGGCAACAACGTCAAAATATGCTCCAATAACACTCCACTGCAGTTCCCAAAGTTGCTCTTCAGAAGCTTAGCCAAAACAGAGTCAGCAGTGCTAAATGAAGCAACAACTGCGCGTACGGTTGAAAACCCTTTGGTTCTATTACTAGTATGGAAGGTCACAGCACTACCAGTAAGCACGTCATAAACACTGCCACACACCCTACAGAGAAAAAATGTTCTCTCTATATACTTTTATGATATTACCAATCAAGTTCTCCAAGTTGGCTTCCTGCATGTCTACTTTCTTACATCATGTACATCATCATCAACGCTCCAGCGGTCCAGCCTCCGAACATTGCTGCATTCTCGGCAGCGCTGTTTTCAAGAGGAGCGGGAGTTCCCGTATCGGCGGCAGTTGCACAGTCGCCTGTGGTAGTGGGGTTGCATGGAGGAGGTGGCGGTGTTGTCGGAGGTGTGGAGCAATCGTTTGTAGTTGTAGGATTGCATGGCACGGGTGGTGCATTGCACTGGGTCGCGGCGAATCCAGCCGAATTAGCAAGACAGTCATTATCATACCTGCATTTCATATCGCCACATTCCACGGGGTTAATATCAGCAGCTGTAGAGTAAACCAATGCCGGAAAAGGAAGGAGTGAATAAGCACCAGAACTATTTTAAAAAGGATGGCACACAAATCTGCAATGAGAAACTTACTACAAGCAACACCAGTTCCAACAGGAGGGCACTGTGAAACTGGATTACACTGCGTTGCCGCGAATCCAGCCGAATTGGCAAGGCAGTCATTGTCATACTTGCATTTCAAGTCTCCACATTCCACGGGGTTAATATCAGCAGCTGTAGAGAATGGGGAGTTGTAGAATAGTGGCTGAGCAATAAAACTGGAGACAGGCCCGCTGATACCGGTCAGTCGAAAGACCACTTACTGCAAGCGACACCAGTTCCAACAGGAGGGCAGTCCTGAAGGCTGCGGATTCCAGCGGCATGAGCATGGCCAGAAATGGCAAGAAGGCAAGCAAAGACGGTAGAGATCTTCATGGTCTTCTGCTACTAGCTAGTAAAATAAATGTCTATCAAGTTGTTTTGTGAAGTCAAGGCCATTAATTTGTGTTGCTTGCATCATGCTTCACTGGAGGATGATGCCATCGATTTGTGACATCAGAGCCACAGGGTCTCTCGGAGTGTTCCGCGCGAGGTCTCCTCTAAGTATCTTTTGAGTGACCCGAGGAAGACAGGAGAAGAGTAGGCTCTCTCCTTAATTAAATGCGAAAACCTTTACATTCATAACGTTCCTATGTCCGGCGGGACGCAGGCTACGTGTCCTGTATTGTATTGGTACGATAGATGACCGAGGAATTGTTGCTGGTGAGGTCCAGATTAAACGTTGTAGTCGTATGATAGCTGATAGCAGACCAACTTGTCTCTGGTACCGGTAGGTAGTCTAATTAGAAGGATACCGAACGAGCTATGCATAGCGGGATGGTGATTGCTCTGGAGTGAGTCCGCCGCCGCCAGGATGGAAATTAGATAAGTCAGTCAAAGTTCGGAATGGTTTTTATGTGCCTGATTGGCTACTCTACTTGTCGCCTGTCGTATGTCGCTACGGTTAGGTTCGGCCTCATACCGGTATCATGCAGAATGCTGATTCAAGCTCGCTATCAGCTACATGTACCAGGACCGTCCGACGGTTTTCGATACGAAAACCGTCGGACGGTCCAGGTATGCTAGAAACGTTGTCTGAATGATTGGTTGGATGAATGTTGAATGTGACTACATGTATAGATCGCCTGCTCGTGCCGGTACACCGGTACATTCAGTCTCTAATTCTTTCTGTTCCTCTGTTACTAATGAAAGTTAGCTTCCACTTTGAAAAGAACAATCCACACGCATTCGTATCAATTCCATGCTAAACCATCCCCTTGTTGCCGGTACCATTGAAACAAAGTGTGTTGAACAAGATTTCAGTGGAAACTCCAGTGCCCAAGATGGTACAGTCAGTTTACGGTACCGGTACCGCTTGGCCATCCCTCCAAAAGATTTTGAGAAGTGTCACAAAACAGAGCTGACGAACACAGAACTTGAAGCAACCGAGAAGAACAGAGCACCAAGTTAGCCTCCCTCTCATCCAAATCCATATCCAAATCCAATACATCCACTACATCCACCATACAAGAAGAAAACAACAAAATCAAAATGTGCTCTACTAGTAATGCTGCCGAGGAAAATCGCATGGAAGGTGTTGTCCTTGATGCCAAAACTCAAAAGGCTCCTCTTACGGCCACTGCTGCCGAGCTCAAGCGCATGTTTGAAGTCATCGAAAAGGAAATTCTACCCGTGACGACAGAAGGTGTGGCCAAAGGGAACAAGGTGTTTGGTGCCTCCATCCTGAACAAGGACTTGTCCACAGTGACGGTGGGAACCAACGCTGAGACAGAGTGCCCATTGTTCCATGGTGAAGTCAAGTGCATCTACGAATGGAGCAAAGTGACATGCCCAAGTGCTAGGGGACCAGCCGCTCAGGAGGCCGTGTTCCTCAGCACGCATGAACCTTGCTGCATGTGCATCAGCAGTATTCTTTGGAGTGGCTTTACCAAGGTCTATTACTTTTTCCCCTACACCGTGACGGCAGCACAAGGGTAAGTTGCTTGTTTTTGTTGTGGCAATATTCGGGCATATCTTGCTACCCTACCGAAGAACAGAATGGCTCACCAAAACTCACTTTCTAATTTGATTGATCTCAATTTTCCCAATGTAACAACAATTCACAGCATCCCCCACGACATCAACACCATGCATGAACTTTGGGGCGTCAATACGTACCGAAAGCGTAACAAGTACATGTCCACAATTTGCCTCATTGATTTGGTCAAGGGTTTGGAAGATTCGGATGACAAGAAGGAATTGGAGGCAACTGTTGAACGCCTTCTTGCCTCCTATGATACTTTGTCCAATAAGTATCACACCGAGAAAAGCAACAATGCTGACAATAGTCTTGTTCTTGGTTAGGAAGTTCGTGTCCTTGGAGCTTTGTTGGACGTGTGCAAAGTCCTTCGGGAAGACAACAACGACGATACTGTGCTCGACAGACCTTTCTATGGCCTTTAGGATCGAGATGTACAATCAAATCAATCAGCTGAAGATTTTTATTCAAAGTAGCAAACATAACGATTTTAAAACGTAGTAGCTTACCTATACAGCTTTAGGACTAGCCCGAGGAACAAGCAATAGCAATCCTCCATCAAACGCCAGAAGGTTTTGACTCTTTTGGTACATGTACATGTATTTCAGCACTGGATGGATTGAATCATTCTCACAATCTCTCTCTCGAACTCTCTTCCTTCATCCTTGTGAAGATGTACGGATTCCACCTCCCTTCTAGCTTTCGTGATGGTATTGCTTGTAGCATGCCGCCCTTGTTGATGGTTGGAGGGCTTGTCACTCCTCCCCTTGTGGTCTTCAAGTTTTCTGTGGGCTTTATGGACCAGGACCTCTAGCAGTATGCCATTGCTGCTAACCTCGTCACATCATGCAACTGCTGCTTTATCAATACCATGAAAGTTCCCATCCCCTTCACCTACAGGGGATCTGCGCATTGGTCACCCACTTTGCTGAGGTACTGACGAGTTTTCGTACCTCATTGCCGTGATTGGAGCCTACCGTAATCAGTCGTGGATACTTTTTGGCTGTCATCGACTTCGGGGCCAGATACTTAAAATACCGCACTTCTCGAGATACAAAGCTGCTGCTGATGATGCAACAGAAAACAACATGCCAGCACCTAAGAAACGAAAGAGTAGTAGTTGCAGTGGCCGTGGGAGCAATAAAGCCAAAAGATGCGGCGTCCCTGTAGATCTGGTTGTGCTGGGAATGCTGGAGTATTTGGCTCCCCGAGAATCGAATCAGTTCGAGTCGCCTTTGCCCTCCAAGACTCTGCGAGATCGACTGAACGTCAAAATTGTAGTTCAGCCAGCCCTATTGCGAGGAGGAACGCCACGAAAAACGATTCAGGAACTCTAGTTTGACGATTTCGAAATCTTTTCCGCGTCTATTGCGGATTGTGAATTCGATGCCTAGCGAGCACTTCAGCCGGACGGTTGTAACCAAGATCCGGCCATAGTTTTGAGTGACCGACGGTGAATCGAAAACGGTTCCCTTGCGCAACGTTACATGACATGCTCTGGCATCACGCCCCAAGCAGGTCGACGTTGAGTGGTATTGAATTGGTGGCGCCCAACTGAATTGCCGTGGCGAGGTCAACCGCGGCAGGCTATTCGTCTGGACGTCACATTACACTACACCTGGAGGGAAAACTCCTTGACGAGAAGGCTCCGTCTGGCTGAGTCTGTCTATGAAGAGTTTCACAGTGCTTTCTGTGGCGCTCATCAGCATGTTAGCACGTTCATGCAAGAGGCAGAGCCAAAGAAGAAAACCAAGAACGCAAGGCTCGAGAGACACAGCAAAATCTCAAGAGGGAAGAAGCTGCACACCAAAAAAGCTCTTTGAGAACTAGCAAGATTAGGTGGAGAGGGTGTTGGTGAATGTAAAGGAAGAATGACACGGCCGTGAGGCTGTCGTTCAGCTAGTCACGAAGCGTCTTCACGAGAAGGAGTGCAAATCCCTAAAGTGTTTCAGGTACCAGTACAAGGTTGAGACCATTGGAGGCGCAATCAAGAATCTATTGAAAATGTATCCAAATTGCTCGAGTTCTCTTTTCTTTCCAAGTGCAAAGTATTGCGCCGGTTCGTTGACCACTTTTCAAAGAACCAAAGGAAAAGGTGCTGAGAATAGGCGGAGAAGAACGCTCCTCCCGTGTTTTGAACAAGCCGAGCCTTCGTTCGTTTGGCTCAGGAGGCGACTTCAAGCCTGAAGCCGACACGGTCCCAGCTCAGCTGTAGTCTCGTATATATACCGGTATGTCTAGCAGGTGTTACATTTGAGCGAAAAGGAGTAGCGAGGTGACAGCACTAGTGGTCACAATCGAAATTGCCGTTGCGATGAAGTGGCGGAATGATGCTGCATCAGAGGTGGAAGTTAGGCGAGATGGATTCAATCCCCCGTCGGAGTCTGCGTCCACATCGATGGCAATATCAACCAATTCACTTGGAGGTCTCGTTGGGGGTTCATCGCTACGTTCGACCATGACACTTTCGAGCTCGGAGAGGGGCCTTGCGGGTGGGTCCTCTTCGTCCTCATACTCCCCGACATCCCATGCCAGAAGCTCTTCCTCTTCCAGCGGAAGTTCTTCTGTATGAGACGTTGCATTTATTGGGGTGGATTCTGATGAATTGCCAAGAAAACTGAAATTGCCAGCATTTATTGGTGCGGATTCTGATGAATTGCCAAGGACACTGAAATTGCCAACAGTTTCATTTGACAAGGCAATCACAACACCAGTTTCTTCGTTCCGGTCTCCACCATCCACTACCACTACCGCCTGCAACTCGTCGTCTTCTTCTAGTTCGAGCTCTTCCGCGTTGGTTGTTCCGTTCAATGCATCAAGATCAGATATGTTGCTTGGGCTTGGCATGTTTTCAAACATTTCAACAACCACCTCGTCACTGTTCGAATTGGTTTCTGCGCCTGTCGACACAGCCGTGGAAGAATCTGTTGTAAACGATGTGGAAGCATCTGTGGACTCATGTGTTGGCGCGCTTGAAGGTCTCCTTGTTGGTAATGTTGTCGGAACAATGGTGGGCACCGCAGTTATGATGTCAGTGGGAGCTCCCGTTGAGATATCAGTGGGAGCTCCCGTTGAGATATCAGTGAGAGCCCCCGTTGAGATGTCAGTGGGAACCCCCGTTGAGATATCAGTAGGAGCCCCAGTAAGATACACAGAGGTAATCATCGTGGCGGTCACAGATGTTGTAAGTTCAGTTGGAGATGCCGTAGCTTGTGTGGGAGAGCTTGTTTGTGTTGATCTTGACAGTGTGGGTGATGCGGTGTCATTCTTGGGCGCAAGCGATCCAGTAGGCTCGGCCATTTCATCTTCAAAGAAAGCAGGTTCTCTGTCTTCAATTGAAAGTGTGGAAGCAGATACCTGAAGTGCCGTGGGAAAAGGGGTAGGCATTGATGTTGGTGTACCAGTTGGAGTTCCTGTGGGAGTTGCAGTTGGGGTGCCAGTTGGCATGGCAGTTGGGCTCAATGTAGGAAACCCAGTGGGGCTTGCAGTTGGTGAGCCTGTGGGGCTACTAGTAGGTACGCTAGTGGGTGTGCTGGTTGGACTTCCAGTAGGTGTTTCAGTGGGTGAGGATGTAGGTGATCCTGTTGGGGTGACAGTGGGAGACCCAGTTGGGCTCAAGGTAGGGACACCGGTGGGCCTTCCAGTTGGCGAGCCCGTGGGGGTACTAGTGGGCACACTTGTGGGTGCGCTTGTTGGACTTCCCGTAGGTGACTGAGTTGGGCTGCCAGTCGGGGGATCTGTCACTAGTCGCAAGGCCTCGTTCGTGAAAGCACCGTCAATGCGGTGAATGATACCGTTAGAAGCCAATATGTTCGATTCGATTATTGTGGCCGTGGATGAGTCAGCACCCAAACTGGTGAGCGATACGGAACTTCCAAGGACAGAGATGAGATACTGTTTGTTGTTCACTGACGTGATGGTTCCCCCATCCCGCGCCAACTTGAACAGCACATCCGCGGAGAGCAATCCCTGGAACATATAATTTTCCACAAAATCGACGCTTGTGGGCGGGTTGTTGGTCATCAAATAGGAGTCTTCAGGGGCAAACAGTGTAATCGGGCTGTCACTGTCCACTTGAGCTGCAAGTCCTGCTGCGTTGATCACAGATGCGAAGGCTGTCAGATCTGGGTCAAAACTTATCCTTTGATAAATGCTGCTTAGGGAAAGCGGTAACACCGACGACTCAAATACTTGAATGGATCTGCAACGTTTACAAATAAATAGTGTGAGTAAACGCGAAGAAGGACACGAGACACGGCTGGTTTGGTCTTACCCATCCACGCCCTGCAAGTCAGCAGGCTGCAGCAGACTACCTCCCTCGAAGAAAACTTCCCCCCTGTTCAAGGATACTTCGGCTAATGAGCCACTGAGTAATGGCACATGGAATGCACCACTGGATGTGGCCGCCAGAGCATAAAGTGCCGCAACTGTGTATTTCCCGAATGCCATCCAATGGAAGAGCAGATCTTCAAGATGCGTAGACCAGATGGGATCCAAGAGGCGTTGGAAGTCTGCTGTGGGTAGGTTGGAGGCTAAGAAGATGTCCGCTGGAAGAAAAATTGTGAACTGTGAACCCTCAGGGTATCCAAGGGACGATACAAGATTCGTTGCGTCCCAAGGAGCAGCAGCGAATAGCTCCGATGCAATAGCCACTTCTAAGTTTCCGTGGAGGTAGCCGACCTGCATCAGCTCAATGATACCTGGAGGAGAAACGAGCTGATCCACTATGTAGAACACTCTATGATGTGAAGAGTGGAGTTGTTAGAACAAGCAGGTTCAAATGAAGCAATGAAATGAATATGCCGTAAGTGTGGTCCTTACCCATTTTCTGCCAGAGCATAACTAGTTGCTACAGCATTGTTGAATCGAATCACTCCTCTCTCGTCTTTCGAGAGCCACATTTCAGCGCCCCCTGGGTGGCGGGTTGATATCCGCATAGGTGCCTCAGGTGACACGTCCGTCGGATATATGTTTTGATCGATCAAGTTGTATAGAAGAATTTCTCTTGTCTCCCATGCTCTTGAGTAGTCTAGCAATCCTTTCATTAGGTCCCCGTTGCCCTCTTCGTTCAAGTATGTATCGGAAGCAGCAACAAAGGTCGTCCCAGACAACATTGCAGTGGTCAAATCTTTCTCAAACCCTGCTGCTGAGACGACGCCACCCAACGATGGAGTGATGGAGGCAGCAAGGTCATCGAGACTTACTTGTCTCCAGTAGCTATCAAAAACTCCATCTATTGGGTAGACGATCCCATTGGCAGCACTTGTTCTTGGAGTTGCCAGCAGCTGTCCACCAACAGTTCTGTTTTCTTTGGCAACGTCAATGGGCCCGCTTTTAGTGTTTATTGTATTGTTGTCTCCATCCAATACAAAAAGATCATCTTGTGTCAAGGATTGACCCAGGACAATTTGGAACTCGACCAGGGCCCTCAGATGTCGAATCCATAAGTCATCTTGCGTATAGCGGGCAACCAAAGGATCTTGCAGCATGGCCGCATTGGTTGGCGCAAAGACGGTAAGGATTTGCGTTGAATCTGCCAAGTAGCTATCATCATCGATGCCTATCCCAACAGTTGTCAGGGCTTCGAGGTAGAGAGAGAACTCTGAGTCTGCTGCAATGACATCCAGAACAGTCTGTTGACCAGAAGCACGGTCTACAAGAGCAGCCAGAACGAAAAGAAACACAAAGCAGAGAGGTGCGACAGTGGCTTCACCCATGATGCTCATCATACTTTTCTCCTATCCAACCCAGTACAGCCTCAGGGAATGTTACCGTATGGTGAAGCGATCATTGAAATTTCTTGTCTTTGCACTTGGCCGTTGTTTAGATTTGGAGATGGGATCCCGACAAGTCCGGCCCGCCAGGGGCGCTAAGAACTCTTTGTGTGTGGAAAATCAGCGGCGTTGATTCGTGGATAGCATAAACCCGGTGCAGTCGCACTTATTAGAGCTCTTGCTAAATAGCGATCCACTCTCTCATGTGCTAATAGCGTTACTCGAGTTGGGGGTAGCATCAGCGGCGCAGTGTAGCTGTCACTGTACCACCGGACCACTCTGAGGCGAGACACTGCAGTTGCTCACAGCCCTCGTTGAAGTGATCGCCAGGCTCTGATTAGTTGTACTCTCCAGCCCTAACTGTGTGTCAAAATGCAGTTGCAAAGATGATGTTGAACAGATATCTGGCATTGGCTTGGCTGGTGCCGCTGATACCCATTGTCAACAGCCAACACATCCAGCCAAAGAAGAGCCATCCCTCTGAGTTAAGGGATGATGAAACAGTCTACTTCCTGGATGTCTCGGGTCTTGGTATCAGTGGTACCGACTTTCACCGCCATGGGAGTTTAGGCATACAACTTTTGGAAGACTTGCCCAACTGGCATTTTGTCAACCGAAACGAAGCTGATGATCACTTTTATGGTGAAACTGAGGATGGACTGGTTGCCTGTCACTTGATGAGGCATTCATCGAACCATTTTGATGACAAACTGGTGGGAATGTTGAATGACCGTGAGACTAACCTCTGGTATGAAATCAAACCTGATATCAGCGGGGAAATCCTCCTTACAGTGATATTTGAAGGTGACATCCCTCCATCATCAACAGGAGATGACCACATCACACAACTGTACTCTTTTTGGAATAGCCTACGATCCACCTGGGCATATTTGAGAGATCTTCCCTGGACATTGCGCATTGATCCCGAAAAGGAGCAGGTTATTGATGTCATGATTATTTGGTCTGAAAACTCAGAATGCCGGCGGAGTTTCCTGGGGATAGATTGTACTCTCACAGAAGACACACGTGATAATATGCATGCTGCCCTGGAGCTGGTCATTGCCACCACGAATTATGCACTCAGGGTTTCTGACACAAGTGCCGTTTTCAACTTGACTCATGCTCAGAGAGACACTTCTGGCTACAGAGAAACTGAGGGCACCTCCAAAATATTGACTGACATGGGTGTTCCTTTCTTTGGCCAACTAAGTTACATCCATCCCCTGAGAGATGAGCACAAGGCAGACTTGGTTTCTTTTGTCTATGACCTTCGCATTGTTGAGGGGGATGCTCCTTGTGGCACTGCCTTGCTGCCTCTTATCAGGCCGCTACCTTTGGCCCCATTCTTGGCATGGTCAACCTATGGTGTCCAGTGCTTTGCAGGATATAGTAAGAGCATCGCTGTCCCCTTTGTTTTCAATGCCTGCATCTTGAAGCTTGCAACATTGACCCTCTTCTTTTTTCTTGCTCATTGTTCACAGCCCCCACGCACGAGTTTGGCCACAATCTGGTAGGTGCATGGATAATCTGAGGCTACACAACACCCTTGGTGGCAATGCAAGAGATTCAAGGGCTAACCTGTGCATTTCGTTCAATTTACACCCTCGCTCTGCAATAGGGTTGCTTTCACGATCGTGGCACTGTAGGAGCTTGTGATGATAATAAGAACACAGACTATGGATACCGTTCTCCCACAGGTACTTTTCGAACAATCATGGCTTATTCCTGCACAAGGGGGGAGTGCGATGATTACCAGTTGGGTAGATTCTGTTCTAGGATACCCTACTTTTCAGGACCTGCATCCTATCAAAATGGTGAGGTATTGGGAGGGGAGGAAAACAATTGCCGCAAACGGATTAGGCTGGACAAGAGGACCATTTCCCGCTTTCGATAAATGGGACCACTCCACATGGGCCAGCAGCACGGACAAGTCACTATTCGTCCATCTTGATCCTGCTGTCTGCCAGTGAAACGTCGAAACCTGCCTGCCAGAGCTTGTGCCGGAATCCACCGAAGCAACAAATCAATAACACAAAACATCAGCAGCAATCATCGTGCCAGGGTGCAAATATTGATGGCATCTGAGATTCTTGTCTATACAGCGTATCTTTGGTTACCACAGGTTTGGGGCAATTCAGGAACCAGTCATGGTACAACTGGATGCAATGTCCCTTCCCTAACCTAATGCATTTAATCGTTTATGTAAACTACGTACGAAGAGATTCAACGACTCGACTCGACCGTCTTCAAAGCCGCGGACGAAATGGAAGATAGTTACTATGGACGCATCCTACAAGCTAACTGTAGCAGATAGCAGCAATGATACTCCTGCCACAAGATAGCACAAGTATCCAAGTCCTTGAGAAAGTCCAGCAGCCGAATCGGCCGTAACTGGTTGCGCTGTTGAGGGAACACAAAACAACAAACGTGGTGAGATGAACGTTTCGAATCAGCTCGGCTTTCTAGCAGCTAGCCAGTAAACCAATATATACTTACTGGTGAAGACAGGGGGAGGTGTGGGAAACACGGGTGCGGTCGTTATGACGCCGTACTTAGCCGGACCAGCCTCTGGTGGTTGGGTGAGCGTGACCGGTGCAAAAGTGGGTGCGTTCTTGTCTACCTTGGTGTAGTTGAAGTACAAGAGGAGACAATCAATGTGATGGATCACGCCTGTTCGAGCAAGGATGTTTGTCCTGTTGGCACCAGGAACGAAGGTACAGTTGGTCAATCCTTCTGGCCCGTCTGCGTTGCTAATGTAAATCTTCACAGGAGGTTCCTCTGGAGCGTAGAGAAGTGGGTCGCCGTCTGGGTCTGGGAACACTTGGATGTTCCACTTTTTGCCGTTCGTGGATGTGAGTTGTTCTCCGTCCTTCTCTGCCAAGTAATCATCGAACCAAAGCAACTCAAAGGTCATGCTCTTGATTACATCTTCAATCTGCAGTTGCGGAATAATAACATCCCAAGCACTGTTGACAGCAGAAAAGAATGTCACGGGCAGCAAGTTGTCAATGAAGGGGCCCATCTGTACCGTATCAATCAGTCTTGTCACTGTTGTCATCTCAGGGTGCATTTGGGTTTGATCATAAATAGTGTAGAGGACCGAAGGAGGCAGGGGCACTCGCTCGACGAGGTGGATATAACTGTTTGCAACGACCGATAGAGAAGAGCGAAACATGAGACCACTTGGAGCGAGTTACACCAAAAAGACGACACCGACTTACCCGTCAACTCCCTTCATGTCATAGGGCTTTAAGAGGCGTGCTCCGTCAATTGTCAATTCACCGTCTTCATCAAACTCCAGGGTAGTGTTGAATCCACTGAGCATTTTCATCTGCATGTACCCACCAGCCGCTTCCACCAACTTGTAGAGCTCATCGGTGGTGTAAGCGGGCTCGACGGTCATGTGCAGCAAAAAGTCCCACAAATGACGCTTCCACTCGAGTGTGGAGATACGAACGCCCACCTCAATGTTGAATTCTCCATATCCGGATTGGAGAGGTGCAAACACGTTGAACGATCCTTGCTGCGTACCAATGGAGCGGGTAAGATTTCGCAGATTCCATTCGGATGATCGATAATACTGGTACATATCCTTCAAGTTGATGGTGGTGTACTCGGCACAGAAATTCATAATCATGGCCAATCCGGGAGGGACCAATGGTTTTGTTACAATTTGGGTGATTCTGTGGTGCCAGAAATAGGAAGAAAGATAATCCAACATTTGACATGAGAGATTCGATGAGAAGAAGTTACCAAAGAAAGAGTGACGGTCGCAACACCCAACCCAAAGCACATAGATCCAACAAACGACCATGCAAATCAATCAATCAATCAATCCACGTACCCGTTATTCGCAAATGCCTGACGATCCAAGATGGCATCATTGAACCTGAGGAGTCCCTTTCTCTGATCCTTGGTGATCCACATGTGAGCAATATCTCCTCGAGGCATGACCATGAGCTGAAATCCTCTCTCGATATCTTGCTCGTAGAGATTAAAGTCAATAAGATTGTACATGTAGGTCAGATTCTGGAATTCGGTATTGTTGGGATCTTTGAGTTCTTGTACAATGGGGAAGAATCCTTGCGCAATGGAATCATTTCCGTAACCTCTGTTTCTGGATGCTACCCAACTGACACCGGAGGGTACAAATTCTTCCAGAGGCTTATCAAACTTGATTCTCTTCAACTGAGGAGAGAGTCCTTCGACCAACTCATCGTGCTTCTCGACTTCTCGGAGTGTGTACCCTCTCCAGTATGGTTTCACAACTCCATTCATGGTGTGCACTACGCCATTGCTTCCGGCCTGATTGGGATTCGTTACCTCGACCAAGTTGACCAGGGCGTAGGGCTGTGAGATCTGGAGCGTCCCATTGAGCGTTACCAGCTCCGTGGTGAATTTGTCAAAGATCATCTGGTCCGAGAGTGCTTGGCTGGGCACAATCATGAGCTGAATGTTGGTCTTCAAATGATGGACCCAACCATCTCGGGACATGTACGTCGTAAAGACTTCATCTTTGGCAATGGCCTCGTTGGAAGGAGCAAAGACGGTGTATTGTTTCTTATTGTTATTCAACTCCAAATCCAAACCCGACAACTCCAAAGCAATCGCAAACTGGCTCAATTCTGGATTCGACTTGATTACCTCCAACACCGTCGAGGCGCGGGAAACGCACAGCAAGAGTGCTGACGATAACAGCAGTCGAAGGCCAAGCATGGTCAACTGACTGATGATTGCTACCTCTTTGTCTTTATTGGTATTAACAGTCCTCAGAGGAATCAATCCTATCCCTTCCTCTTACTTGCGCAAGCTCAATCGCAAGGGAAAGTAAGTGACAAACCAGCAACGCAACAACAGCCTTTAGAAACAACAATCCTGGGTCGAGGACAGGGTTCACTTTTGCTTTTTCAACAGATCCACAGTCTCATTCAAAGATCTAAGGTGTCCCACCAACGCGCCCTTCAAGAAATCTCGGACAAAAGATGTGACCATGATAAATGACCTTACTTTGGATCTTTTTGGGCAGCGGGACAAGGCCAGCGGGAGTGAGCCTGCAAGCTGGCTTGGTCCTGCTAGCAACCTGCACCAAACCAATGCCTTCATAATGGGTTGGTACCACCATGAAACAACCCAAGCTCCAGCCCTGGCAGCCCCCCGCTCCAGACCCATTTCTAGGTGATAGCCAGAGAACAACACCTTGGACCGCTCCCTTGCCCTGCACCTGCACAGACCAACACCAGGCCCCACTCCTGGATAATCTCCTAGCCTGGCAAGTCCAAGACAACTCCTGTGCTGACTCCTGGACGTACATGCAATGTGCATCTCTGGACAAAGGCCAAGCATTACACAAACACCATCTCCTGAACCATGAGAATCAGAACACGTGCCTTCCCTGACTCCCAGGCCAACTTCCCAGCCCACAGTACCAGGACACACATATTCCAGCTCCTAATTCCCTGCCCCAAATCTCCCTGCATTACACCTGGCCATAACCAACACTTGGACCTTCATCTGGCCCATTTCCTACCTAGCTAGACCTACCCTTCGACCAAAAAACCAGCTAGCTGGTAGACAAGCTGGTCCATTTCCTTCCCTCTGAGTGGAGCCCATATTTTGCCTTCTCATAAAAGTTTCGCGTCCTGCCAGCTTCTGTACTCGCCACCGGTAGTGACAAGCATATAAACAGGGGGTGTCCAAGTATCTTCAGCCCTTTGTTGTGGTGGCATGGTTGGTCGTTCCTTAGGTTAGAGATTTATTGAAGTCTACTTTCTAGATTTCTGCCCCCCCCTGGAGCCCCTCTGTTCTCTTCTCCAAGCTAACTGCTCAGTAAACTCTATCTACCGGTACATGATCGGCCTCTTCTGGAAACAGTTTCTTCTGGAGGCACTTTGGCACTTCCTGGATTCCATCATCCCTTGCTCTCTCTTACACATCTCTAGCTAGCTAGATATGCACAGTTGCCCTTTTCTTGGAAGTGTGGTCACTAGCAATTTTTGATCGTGTGGCTAGACTAGCTAGTATGCTAATAAAGCGGTTGATCAGATTGGGTTACCGGTAGCCCTACAAGCAAGCCAAATAACCCTAAATTAGTCCGATCGCCGTCCGTCAATGGAAATCGGTGGCTGCATCGAACTTGCTTATTGTCGGTCGCCCTGTCGCCTTCTCTTCGAAAGCACCGCATCCGCATGCTTCTATCCATGGGTTGTTGGTTGTCAACCTGTAGTACGTAGTAGATCCCCCCAAGCTAAAAGGCAGACGATGGCGTTCCGTGGAAGAGCTTTACAGACATGTTGGCATCTTGTTGATGCCTCGGATCAAACGGTGGGGCGGTTGGCAAACCAAATAGCACCCATCTTGAAGGGCAAACATAAACCCACCTTTCTTCCCAACAAGGACATGGGCGATGTAGTGGTGATTGTCAATGCGGAAAAGGTCACTTTTTCAGGCAATAAATGGGATGACAAGCTCTTCAAATGGCATACTGGATATCCTGGTGGCCTCAAATCAAGACCGGCCAAAGCATGCTCGAACGCAATCCAACCAAGATCTTGCGAAAAGCCATCTTGGGAATGCTCTACCGCAACAATCTACGGCAAAGCTATATGGAACCCCGTCTCAAGATTTACGCTGGACCCACGCATCCCCACA